AACAAATTGAGGAAGTTCCCTTCCATTCCTAGTTTACTGAGTTTTTATTATAAATGAGTGTCGGATAGAAAATACTGAAAAAATGCTTTTTCTGCATCTATTGATAGGATTTTTCTTCTTCAGTCTGTTGATACGATGGGCTGCACTGATTTTTCTTTCCAGTTTTATTGATATAACATTGTGTAAGTTTAAGGTGTACGATGTGATGGTTTTATATTCATATGTTGTGAAATAATTATCGTAATAAGGTTAGTTAACACATCTATCACCTTAGCATTAATTTATTTTTAAATGTTGAACCAGCCTTGCATACCTGAGATAATTCCCACTTGGCTATGGTGTATAATTCTTTTTATGTATTGTTGGATTCAATTTGGCAATATCTTGTTGAAGATTTTGCATTTGTGCCAATGAAAGATATTGATCTGAGGTTTCCTTGTAATGTCTGTCTGGTTCTAGTGTTAGGGCAATCCTAGCCTCAGTGAGTTAGGAAGTATCCTTTCTATCTTCTGAAGGAGATTATGGAGAACTGGTATAATTTTCTCCCTACTGTTTGGTAGAATTCACTGGTGAACCCATCTGGGACTTGTTCTTTCTGATTGGAAGGGTTATTAATTATTGATTCAATATCTTTAATAGTTATAGGCCTATTCAGATTGTCTACTTCTTCTTGTCTAAGTTCTAACAGATTGTTTCTTTCAAGGTATTGGTCCATTTTATTAGGTTATCAAATTAGTGGGCACAGAGATGTTCATAGTATTCCTTGATTATCCTTTTAATGTCCATAGAATCTGTGGTGATGCCCCCTCATGCATTTTTGATATTAGTAATTTGTGTCCTCCCTCTTTTTTTTCTTAGCCTGTTTAAAGGCTTATAGATTTTACTGATCTTTTCAAAGAACAAGCTTTTGGTTTCATTCATTTTCTTTACTGATTTCCTATTTTCAATGTCATCAATTTTTGCTCTCATTATTTGTCTTCTGCTTACTTTGGATTTAATTTATTCTTTTAAAAGTTTCCCAACTGGAAACTTAGATTTTAAATCTTTCTTCTTTTCTAGTATAGGCATTCAATTTCACTCTAAGCACTGCTTTCACTGCATTCCACATATTTTGGTAAGTTGTGTTTTTATTTTCCCTCCTTCTTCTCAAGGCCCAAGTCAAGTGCTAGTTTCTTTACAAAATGCTCTTTAAATTGTCCCAACCCACAATGAGCTCTCCATCTGCTGAATTCCTACTACATTTGCTGTCTGTACCATTCACTTGATATTTGGCATATACTGACTTGCACAGCTAGGTATCTTTTAGTCCTTGTGTCCTGTCTGTGTAACTTTAAGGAAAGATCCTAAGAAGAAATAATGTTTCCTTACCAAGTGCCTAACAAGGACTTTGAACATAGCATTTGTTACAACTGATTCTCCAACCCAGTAACACGTGGTATTTTAGTTCCTAACTTTATTCAAAGCTTAATACAATTATTTTACAACAGGAGCCCCCAGAGGTCAAGAGGTACCTGGGCCACGTCCATGTTTTAAGGCTGCTGGTAATATTAAAAAATAAAGAAATACCACTTTCTTATTACAGAGTTTATAGTAAACTTTTGCCTTTAACAAATAAATAATTTAATATGAAAGAATATAATTTATTTGTACTACTCATATTTATAAATTCTATAATTTATAAATGCCAAGAAGCAGTACAGTCTGACAATAGGATGCAAGCTGCATAAAAAATAATTTTTTTTAAATCCTATCAGCCAGTTACTTTGAATACATATAGAAATTAACTTGAAGAAAAGTCAAAAGCCTACATTTGAGGCAACGTTTTCCACAGAAGGCAGAGAATAAGGTTTCAACCCTGGAGTGAGAATGGTGGAAACAGTTATTAAAAGAAGTGAATTAAAATATAAAAAGAAATGCATGGAAAGGATCAGATAATCTCAAATTCAGCAGAGTGCTGAACTCAAGGGTGGAGTATGAAGAGCATGCGGTCAGAGAGGGACCCCAGGGGCTTGCTTCAATTCTATTGGTAATGTTCTATTTCCTAAGCTGGTGGTGGATATCCTTTGTATCATTTTATACATATGTGTATGTCCAAAACGTCAAAATGAGCTATGAAAAGTTCAGTTTTGGAAATACTGTCTGTGAGATGATGCAGGGGGAATTCAGATGGAAATTTCCAGTAATCTGAACCTCGAGTCCCTGAGAAAGGGCTACATTCATTTATAAAACATCTACTATGTGGCTACCAGTCTTACTAAGCACTTAGTACAAATTTTGTGAATGAAAATGGTCAGTGCCATCACCATTACCTTTTCCGAGGAGATCTTTGCTAGTAAATCTACTTGATATAAAGCAGTTCCGTGTTCTTTTCTTGAACCAACACTTAGGTACCCACTTCCTGTATCATCACTTGTTAGCAGCTCAATATCATTCCACATGTTTCTGAGATTGTTTCTCCTGGGTCAGGAACCACTGATTACCCTATGACAACAGATAAAATTAGAGACCAGATTACATTGTTGCATAGAATCCAGTTCCTTGGGAAATAAAAAAGCTTTATCAAAGAAAAAAATTTATATATAGACACACATCAATAAATAAAGACTTCTCTGTCTTCAGGTTATTTCTGTGGTCACTAGACACTTTGGACCATTAAGATAAACAGAACTAGAGCTCAGGTTATTGTCAGAGAAGAACATATTAGTTTAGGAACACAAGCAAACAATTCCAATCTTACCAATGTATCCTAGAGCTTCCAGAATTTTGTATGTCTAGTTGACATTAAAACAAATTTTCATTTGGAAAAAAAACCTTTTAATCAGTACAGCAATAAATTGTGAAGGCTCTGAAGTCAGGCTGTCTGGGGTATCTTAGGACAGTAGGGTTTCAGATGAACTTTAAAGAAAAAAAAGTCAATTTATGTTTCCAGTATCGTTGTACTATAAATGAAAATGTTAAGGAGAGAAGGAAAAAAATGGGTTAGGTTTCTGACTGGACCAAAGAGCATATTTGTAACCTTAGGAGTCACTTAACTATCTCATTAGCAAAGACTTATGTAACTCATTTCACTGGGTCTGGGTGGGCAAAGAATACTAAAATGAGAAACAATCCTTGAATCAAGACTAGGGGGAATGATAACATAATAGTTACAGTTGTTTTGATACGTGCTCGCAGAAATGTTTTTAAATCTATGGGAAAGTACAGTACAGGGAAGAAATGATTTTTGACTTGGTGCTCTATCACACTTACTAGCCAGTTGTTCTGAAGTAACAAGTAGCTTAATCTTTCTGTTCCTCAGTTCTCATTTATAAAATAGGAATGTAGTTGTATGTAGCTGGAAAGGTCACTATGAGTTTTAAATATTCACAAAACAGTGCTTGGTTCATGGTAAGCACTCAATTTTAAATGTTAGCTAACTTAATATTGTTACCTGCGGAAGCAGGTAACACTTGGGCTAGAAATTTAAGGTTGATAGGAGCTTCTTCAATATAGGAAAAGAGTTCTTACTATGCGAGGGTACAAAAACAAAGCATATTAGAACAGACAATAGTTTAGTGGCTGTATTTGGGTGGGAGTTGGGAGGAGATTAAGACAGGAGGGACAGGTTAGAGTGTATACTTTTATAGGTCTCAGTGTCCCACATCTGTAAAAAATAGAGAAATATCATCAGCCTCTCAGGTGTGTAACACTCACTCATTCAACAAATGTTTACTGAATGCCTACTATGTGCCAAGCAAAGCTGGGAATACAGCTGTAAAGAAGACAAAAGTTCTTTGCCATTATGAAATTTGTATTCCCGTAGGAAGGACAGACAAAAATAAAACAAACACGGTATTGAGTAGGCAAAACAGTTTGAGGGCATTACTCATTTAATCTACACAACCCATTTTACAGCTGAGAAACATCAGTCAGGGACTAAGTAAATGGCCAAGGTCACCTAAAGCAAGTTAATGATGTAGCTAGACAAGACTCAAATTCATGCTAGCTATTAACCGTTGTACTGCCTCCCTATGAAAAAATAAGTGAACGTACAACTACAAACAGTACTCAAATGAATGGTGGGGAGGGGCGCATAAGAAGGACCTGTTTGGGAAGGGAAAGAGATAACAACTGGGCTGAGATTCGAATAGCAAGATGCCAACTATGCACAACTCAGAGGGAACAAAGATGCAGGCCGAGCGCAAAGGCTCAGAGGGTGGAATGAGCTTGGAGAGGCTACTGGGCCATAGAAAGAAAGGAAAAGTGTGGGAGCCAAACGAATGGGTGGAGCTAAATAAATCTTCTATTTCAAGATTGGGTTTCATCCTCAGTACTAGGGAGGGAAAGATACTAAGCAAACGAGTGACATGATTTGATTAACAATTTGAGATCAATGGGGCTGCTGGGTGAACAGATTTAACGAATTGAAGTCGTTTCAGTTAGGCCTCCAGGCGTAAATCCTTTCAGCTGAACACTGGGGCCGGCAAGAACCGACTCCAGCCTCTCTCCCGCCAGCGTCTTGAGGGGAAAACACCCCGAAGAGAGCTGAGGCCTCTGCTATGTCGACCTAATCCCATCCCCAGCTCCCTACAGCAATGCGGTTCCCTCTCCTCACCTGCAATTGAAGAAACTGAAAAGCAAGTTTATCGCTCCTCTTCCTGACTCCCACAGCCGCCACGGCCTCTTTAGGGTCCATCCCACAGGTTTAAATTGGCGGGAGAACATCAAGCCCAACCCCTTTTACGGCGGCCAGAGGGGGCCAAGATTGCTTTAGAATCGAAATAGGAAGTCGCCCCACCCTAAATTCCGCCAATTCCCACAATCAGGCTGTGCATTCAAGGGTGTGTTATTGGCCCCGCCCCTTCCCTGGATTTACACGCCCCCTTTAAAAGGATAACCAATCAACGTCGAACGGCGTTGCTACAGAAACTCTTATCACCTCCCCTTTTCCTCCCAGCAAGCTGTGCGATGCGCCGGGCCTTAGCCCCTTTGTGCCATCCGGGTCTCTCGTGCGAGAGAGTCAGTCTGTGGTGAGGCGTCGAGTCGGCCGGTACTGTTGAAAGCGGCGAGAGGAGGCGCCGCCCTAGCGGCCAGGACCCTAGACTATGGCGGTAGGTGCTCAATTTGAGTTTATAGTCAGGGTTATTTTTCTGCTCCTCTCCGAAGAAGAGGTGAACGGCTCCCGGAGCTGTTGTCCGCGTTTGTGTGGACAAAATGGCGGCGCGGCCTTCTTCTGCGCCCGCCATCATGGTTGCCTGCTGCAGGGAGGGGGAAATAAGGCGGTGTCGATGGGGGTGGGGAGCTTCTGGGAGTGTCATTTTTTTTTTCTAGAACTTTCCTCTTCTTCCCAGCCCCGTGTTCCTTTGGGCCACGGAGTTGACTCCGGTTAAGTTTACTCGCTATGGTTGGTGATTTATATTGAGTTTCGTTAGGGTTTAGACATTTAACGATCGTGGTGGGAAAGGGCTGAGGAAGGAAAAAGAGACCACGGATCATCTCTGAAAAGTGTTGGGTAAAGGCGGTCCTTCTAAGGGATAGAATGTGAGAAGAGAGTAGTTTTGCAGCGATTTTTTTTTTGCCTGCACTCGATGATTCTAGTTGCATAACTTCGATTACTTTTCCGTCTGTGTAAACCTTAGTTTATTCCTTAGCAAGCAGCGAAGGAAGGTATTGATGGAAGGAAGTGAAAATTAGACTTAATTAGGAGAAGGTTTTGAAACTACGATTTCTGTTTGCTGCTGCTTTTTTGAAGCGGCTCCTGATGTAATCATTTTGAAGTCTGAGAAAACATGATCAAGCCCTACCATTGGTGGTGTTATTTTAAATTTAAGAGTTCCTCACTAACCCGTTTAATTTTAAATAAAACTATAGTTCTCGAATTATTTCCTCTGAAAAAGAAGCCTGCTTTGGGTATAAAATGCCCAGTCCTGATGCATCGCATTATGGTGTGATTACTTCATTTTAATTAACCCAGATAAAGAAAAATGGAAGCATTTTGCATTTCTTTCCGTTGACTAAAAAAGTTGTATATTCTTGTTTTCAGAAATAAATAGGACTATTAAACTTAAGTTGTAAAGATTAAAGACCTGTAGTTTACCCATCCTAATCATTGGGATATCTGGAATTAGGAATAGTTTTCTGTCCCTCTCCCCGCCCCTATACTGAATAGATTGGATTTAGAACCGATTTTTTTTTTTTTGGACAATTGAATTTAGAATCGGTTTCAAACAGTTGGCAGGCTATTTGGTATCTCTGTAACTAATCGATTTAATGTTTTCCTTTGTTTAAATAGTGTTCCATCCTCTTGATACACTGTTAGTAGAGTGTGATACTGTTTTACTTGGGCTCAGATATTTTAAAAAACCAATTCAAACATCTTTTTATGCAGTGCCTCGTTCAATAAAAAGGCGTGATCCCCTGGAGAAGTGGCCTAGTATTAAATCCACTGTACCCTCTGTACTGGAAAAAGATTTGTATACTATGTCTTGAGCGTCGTTAGGGTTTTAAAGAAGATGTAAATTTTAAGAATCCGTGGTGTCCTAATAGAGCAGATGCTGGAGTGGAGGGCATTTTTGCAATTAGCATTTAAGATTTATGTATAAATCCCTACTAATTAAAGTCTTAGAAATTTTCAGGGAAGTTTTAATACTCAATTGATTTTACTTGGATACTTTTGTTATGCTACTATAGAATATCTTTGTGGAAATAAAAGTTTTGCCTGGGCTAAGTGCCCACCCATTATTAATACCTGTTTGGTGATACAGTGGTTTTTGCTGTTGTCCTGCAGTATATTTTATAAAAGAAAATGGCTGTAAGTGCCTTCCCTTAAGGCAGGAATATTTGACTTCCCTATTACCAGGCTTCTGTGATGTTAATAAGCATTTGACAGAAAAGTTATTTCCTGGGCTAGACACTTACATTTCCTTGAAAAGGTTTTTAACTAGAACTATAAAAGTGGATGACACGTGCTGGCGGTTCAGGAATGCTCTCTCTGTTGGGCAGGAAAGTGGCATGCGCTGAGGGAAGTCATAGCAGTGCTTAAAAGTTTTTGCTGTTGCTTTTATTTTGCTAAGTGTAACTTTACCAACACACAGCATGTCGTAGTCTGAAATAGTACTTAAGAATAGGGATAAGAACAGGAATAAAAGTGACCAGTGTAAGTTATGAAAATCAGCATCTTTATTTGTGTGATACAGTATCATGCATTAATAGTAGACAGCAAAGAGAGCAGTGTCTTAGTTCGAAGCAACTGATGTTGCTGGATCTCATCTGTAAAGTGAAAAACTTGAATGTGAATCGAAGGGATGAGAGCCTTCTGCACAAAAACTTAATGATTCTAGAAATCATCCAAGGAAACTAGAGAAGCATATGTGCTCAAATGAGCCTCCCCAGTAGTTAGTTGGTTTCTCCTGTTTCTTACTGGTTTTCTGGTAGCATTGTTAGAGGCTTAACACCTAATTTTTCTGTCATCCCAACTAAGCTTTAAATCCTTCCCTTTTATCACTTTATTCCTGGAGTCCCGGGTCTGGTTAGGTGCATTTTTGACCCTAATAAAATAGTTGTTGAAGTAATGCACCCTCTCACACTTTATTTGTTAAAATACTCCCTGTTGAGTTTACATGGTGTTTGTTTTCTGGACTAATCAGAAATTCATTGTTCCTCCTGCTAAACATGTATAGTAAGTCATTATTTATCCAATCCAGATTTCTTTCATAAAGGGCAAGGTAGTAAAAATTTTAGACTTTGTGGACCACATAGAGCACACAGTCTCCGTCACATTTGCTTGCTTGTTTTAACAGCCTTTTTAAAAATGTAAGAACCATTCTTAACTCACCGTTCAAACTCAGGCTGTAGTTTGCCTGCTCCTGTCCTAAGTAATCAACTCCCCAGACATGTTGACTATTTTCATATTCCCTCTCTGGTTAAATAGGTCATCATTGTCCACCTTCCACTTATCACTGTAACTGTTTACCCTGCCTTTTATCAAAATCTGACTCAGGAACATTCAGATTAGTTTCTCCTTAAAGCTTTTTTCCTAGGAGTCATTAAAAATTTGTGTGTGTGTGTGGTACTCTTGTTACATATAATTTGGACCATGTCTGCAGAGCCACAGAAATACTTCATTTTTAATGGAAAACTAATAACTGGTCTTCATTTCTTCACGTTTGATTTCTGTTCTGAGTGCTGTCATGATCAAGGCAGGTGAAATTGCCTTTTGTTAACTGGAGAACAAAGAACTGATACTTAGGTAATGGAACCTACTCTCTTAGGTATCGGTTTCTGGAAAAGTGTGTATGTTTGATTATTGTTTTAACTTTTAAAAACTTTATGTTGTGACTTTATAAAGTGCTTTAAAGCAGAAACAACTTAATGTTTCCATAGCCCAGAGCATATGTGAGGAGAGGCAGACCATATTTTGCTGCAGCACTGTGCCAAGGGGCTTTCATTAAAGAGGGTTAATGAAATTAATATTGGGTTCTCAGATAGGTAAGTTTATTTTCTGTTTATTCTTTTATAATATTCTAGAAACATTCTCTTTGCTTTTTAAGATTTTACAGTTTTGAGTCTAACCTCTAACAGCTCATTTTAAATGCCTTTTTAACGTATGCCGATTTAAGTACAAGTGTTGGTTAAGTCAGCTAAATAAATTTACAAATCTAAAGCAGACTATTTTCTCTGCTTAAATATTTATTGGGAACACTTGGGACCCTTATTTTCCCCTTCCCCTATTTTATATTAAACTGATAAAAGTTATGGTTTTAAAAAATTAAAAAAATAGATCTGTGTAATTACACGTGTCTCTTTGGTATTGGGTTAGTCGTGAATTTATTCAGGCCTCCTTATCAGGTACAAAGCATATTTAGCTACTTGGAAGTCACCTGTTCTTATTTCTTGATTTTCTTTTTTTAATTTTGTAAAACAAGGATGACTGTCTTTCCTCCCCTCCCACTCTTTTAAGAAATTAGAAAAGTTTTAAATGCAATTAAGAATTTACAGCTATTTTTCTCTAAACTTTTAGGCTAGTGATACTGAACGAGATGGACTAGCCCCAGAAAAGACATCCCCAGATAGAGATAAGAAAAAAGAGCAGTCAGATGTATCTGTTTCTCCTAGAGCCTCAAAACATCATTATTCAAGATCACGATCAAGGTCAAGAGAAAGAAAACGAAAGTCAGGTATGAATTGCTGGAAATGGTAATTATCATTATAGGCATTTTAACAATCCATGTAGAACTGTGTATAAGACATAAATTTCATTTTCTGGTATAATTAATGTGTGTTCTTCCAATTGAGAAATGGTTAGTGAAAATATATTGGTAATTTTCTGTAGAATTTTTCAATTATAAGAAATACAAATGTCCTAATACAGGGTTTTTTTAAAAGGACAAAAACTAGACTGATGTGGTATAGAAAATGCTTGATGTATTGTCGATGAATCAATAATTAATGAAGTAGCGAGGTGAAAAGTAGAATAGAAACGAATTTAAAAGTTTCAAGACCTGGGCTCTAATTATTACCCTTTGCCCCCACAGATAATCATCAACAAAATGGTTCAAATGTAATTTTTATCTATAGTTGAAATTGCACAGTATTATCATAGCCAGTTTTGAAAGGAAATTTTTCTGAAATGTAACATCCTTTTGACTACTTACAACACACCAAATACAATTTAGCCTATTTGTTTTCTCTTGCATTCTTTGTTTCTCTTGTTTTTAAGTGCAACCTCTAATAAGACCTTTCTGCTGTGTACTAGGAAACAAGGAGGGCTGGTTAGAATGTTTTGTAAAATATTGGGAATCTTTGACCACCTAAAGACAGTGTTTGTCATTGTCATAGAACAGGGACTTGGGGAACTTTTTTTGCTCTCTTACTTGATTATATTTGGGTTTGCTCAGATTGCTTGATTTGTTTCAGATATGTACAGTATTAACAGTAGAATGATCCTGCCCTTGCCATTAAAAAATAGGCTTTGGCGGATGATTAGTAAACAGATTTAGTTAGCTGAATGGACAGAGATTGTTGTTTATATGAGTTGGAATTTGTGTTTGAGATATTTCTGTATCTTATGGTGAATTTTTGTGTGTTTACAGATAATGAAGGAAGAAAACACAGGAGCCGGAGCAGAAGCAAAGAGGTAATTAACACTTTGTAGTGAATAGGCACTTTAAAATACTTGTAAAGTATCTGGTAGAAATGTTTGTGTGAATATATGATATTGTCAAGGTAAGTACCAAAACTTGAAATTTTAAAGGTTTAATTGGGTTATAAAATAAGCATGATTTGGATTCATCATTTTTCAAGAAGATAGTTGTTTATATGAAAAGTTCATTCAGAAACTATTAATTATATTATGTTGTGAAAATATTCACAATAAAAATTTCATATGAAGAATATGATTGGTTTTTTAGGCCTGTCACACAGAGCTTCCATTAATTTGAGGTCCCGAGTCTCCTTATGCCTGATGACTGCTCAGGATTTTTAGATAGCAATCATCTTTAAGTAGCACTACTCTAGATATCAATGGGCTACTTTTTCTTTATGGAAGACAACAAGAGTCGTTTTCATTAGTAAACTAGTTCGATTCCCTAATAGTATTGAATTGAAATAAAAGCGTCAGTGAGGGACAGCTGGAAAGGTAGTGATGACAGCAAAACTTGAGGATAAAGACAGCAGCTATATGGCAGAGGAGTTAACTTGCCCGCCTGAGAAGACAAGAAATGAGCCAACAAAGGAAGAGCAGAAGTAACAGCCAAGAAGGGAGGAGGAGTCTCATGGGGGCTGGGCAAGGGACTCCTAAAACAAATGTGGGCAGGGACTTCACCTCTTTCCCTAATGGAAGCTCTGTTAAATTTTTAATTTAGGAGAGTTTTTGTGAAAATGACTATTTTGTTTAGCTCACATGATAACATTTCTATAATAAATCATACTCAGCGTGCTAATGCGCGAAGAGACTGAACTGAAGACGCTGCAGACTCAGATAGCAAAATAATAAGCCTACTTCATGATAAGGTAACTATTAGTCATTCAAACTCCTATTTCCCTTAAGTATATTTTAAATCAGTTAAGGGTTTTAATGGTTTTTTTTTAATAATGTTATGTTTGGAAAATGGTTTGAAGTAAACTCTAAAACTTGCAAGTTTAACCATTTAAAGCTTTTCCAGTTTGCCACTATATGGCAAAATCAAGGAAATACTCTTATAAGCTCACTATAGAGAACTGGCAGTGAAACTAAGATTTAGCTGTGTCTCCAGGTCTCTTATTTTTCTGCAGAATAATAAATTGATCCTTTTCAGATATATCACCATGCATGTTTGCTAATGTTTGACCAAAGTTTTTGTTTTTTTTTTTTTTAAGAAAAGTTAATCTTGAGTGGAAGGAAACATGGTTTAATGCTATGGTCTGTTTTAGAAAATATGAGATAAGTGTCCTACTGTGGTGGAAAACGGTGGCCTGGGCATCAGAAGAACATGGGGTCTGGGTTCAACTCTCCTAATATGAAGCTTTGTGACTTTAAATCTTAACTTAGTCATATGTGAAGTAAGGAGAATTAGAGGATCTGAGTTTCCTTCCAGCTTTAAAATTGTGATTCTGAAATGTCCAAGATTTTAAGCTTTAGCTGTGAAATAGATTTGACAAATCTTAATGTGGGGAAATCTAATGTTTAGTACTTTCTAATTCAGTATGAGTGTAGGATGGAGACTTGATCATACAACTAATTTTAGCTCAGTCTCTGAATGCATATATTGTGAAAGCAAAAGCCTTGGGTTTTATAATCCTTCAGAATAATGGGGGAAGTATGTATTCGTAATATAGGGATTAATTATGTTATACCTAGTTTGATTTCATAAAAATTAAAACAGATATGGTTGCCATTTTCTACCCTAGGTACAGGAAATGTTAATAGAACTCCAAGCCTGTTGGGATATTACAAGATGAAAAGTGATTGCTTCACAGTTTAGACATTGGGAGAAAAATCAAGAAAGAGCCATGTTTTTGAGAGGATGTGGCATTATAACTATTAAAAAGGACACTTCAGCCCTACGTAAAGTAAATTAAAGTTGCAGAAAATACTAATGCTTAGGTTGATTTTATTTAGCTACCTAATTGGAAATGCATTTTCTGGTGCATTTCTTTGTGTCCTTCATTTTCATCATTGTTAACTTTTAAACTTAAATACTATATACTATGCATTTAGAAGTTGATGTATATACATGGTCTGCTTCTCTAAAAGGTTTGTTGGGAAAGTGAAAAAATGTTGATACGTGGGTATTTCCCTTATTTTAGATAAAAGAAACGTCAGGGATTCTTCTTTTCCTGAAATAATGGTTTTTCAGTATTATTTCATCATTGAAAGTCACTTTCATTGTGATATTGAAAATATTTTGGGGTAGAAACTGCATTTTGGGAGTTTATAAAGAAAAAGTACAATTAGTATATATATCTGCAACATTTGGGTGATGTGAAACTAGATCTGTTTTTAATTTGCCACACACTCCTAAGGTTACTAATGTTGCATCACAACATTTTTGCTATTGATACCCATACTAACTCTCTTTGTTGCACTATTTTCCTGAAAGAACCAACTTCTTCTTAAAACAGGCAAGAAGACATGAATCCAAAGATAAATCCTCTAAGAAACACAAGTCTGAGGAACATAATGACAAAGAACATTCTTCTGATAAAGGAAGAGAGCGGCTAAATTCATCTGAAAATGGCGAGGACAGACACAAACGCAAAGAAAGAAAGTCATCAAGAGGCAGAAGTCATTCAAGATCTAGGTCTCGTGAAAGGTAAGTTTTTTCTAAGTTTCTGCCTTTTAGAGAGCTTTTAAATTACATAAAGTTTCACATTTCACATTCCACATTCACATAACTAAGCAACACCTTAAAAAAATCTTAGAAAATTGGTATTTTTGGTTAACTTGATCCATTCTTTGTTTTCCTTTTTCAGTTTTATTAGAAATTATTAGTTTGACTGCACATATACATTATATTGCATGTAAATACATATATATAATATACTGCACTTTTTTTTAGTTTATATATATGTACAGATTGTTTCTAAGAACAGATTAGAGCTTTAACTTTTTAACTTGATCCATTCTTTTGCCAATTAATGTCCACTAATACCTGGTCTTATGGTCTTTGCTTCCTGATAAAGGCAAAAATGATATCCAAGAGTGGAGAACAAGGGGTGGGTATAATTAGCATATTCATAATTAACATTAACAACTATATTTCTTGATTTGTCCTACAAAATGAAAAAAAATCATTGCTGAACTGTTAATACAGTTTGCCAGTATAACAGTCCTTTTTACATTGCTGATGGAGGACTTGTTTGCTGCTAAACTCTTAAGTTTTCTTAGGTATAGATTAAAAGAATTTTGAGAAACTGGATCATGTTTTGAATTTTTGTGGCATTTTTGTTTTAAGAAGCCATTGTTTAACATCATATACTTGGAGACCTCTGTGGGGAGTATATGTGTAATATCAGATTTGGTCAAAAAACTTTAAGAAGTGAATAACTTGCTTGTTATTCTTAAACTTAAGAAATAGTTTGGTAAGGCAATAGACTTTAAACTGTTAAACAGAATCTTAAATTGGGACATGTTATTACTTTAACTTTACTGTCTTCCATCAAACAAGAACAAAGGTCTATCTTTGGTTATACCTCCTTCCATTAAAAACCTCAGTTATCCTTTCTGTACACAACACAGAATAGTTTATTGCCTGTCTTGAATGCATACACTTTAAGTAATTAATTCATAATGTCCGTAATTGAAGACACAACTCTTAAAAGTAACTAGAAATTTGTGCACTTTAATTTCAGGCGTCATCGTAGTAGGAGCAGAGAGCGGAAGAAGTCTCGATCCAGGAGTAGGGAGCGCAAGAAGTCAAGATCCAGAAGCAGAGACAGGAAGAAATCACGATCCAGAAGCAGGGAGAGAAAACGTCGGATCCGATCTCGTTCCCGCTCAAGATCAAGACACAGGCATAGGAGTAGAAGCAGGAGTAGGACGAGAAGTAGAAGTCGGTAGGTATTCCTCATCTTGAGTAAAATCAAATAGGCGCCTCCCAGGGTCTGTCGGGTAAGGCTTAGAGAGCCAGTATCATAGTTATTAAATGGTACAGCCATGACTGGGTCCCAAATGTGTCTGAATGTGAAGTCATACATGCTTAGCCCAGCATACTGCTTATACTATCTCAGCTATTCAAAAAGATGAGCTTAATAATTCCAACTTGTCTTGATTGGAAGGGGGCTTTGATTTGTTTAGACAGGAACTATAATAAAAAACACTTAATTACGGATATTCAGAGAATATGTTTATTCTCTAGTCATATAAGACAGTTACTAATAGTACATTATAGTCACAGATACTGGTATTGAAGTAGTGGGAAAGCTTTTTTGTTAATTTATTGCTCCTTAAATCAGTTGTCTAATTTGAATTTTACCAGTTAGAGGATGTGTATAGTTCAGTGATAGAGCATTCACAAGGTCCTGGGTTCAATTCCCAGTACCTCTATTTAAAAAAAAAAAAAAGAAAGAAAGTAATGAACTTTGCCAGTTAGATTTAGTCACTCTAAGGTAGATGATAATTTCACCATTAATTACCTTTTTTTTTTAATAGCCATTTGGGCAGTTCAGGTCATGGAGATTCTAATATTGACCACTGATACTTTTTATTCTGATCGATGTCTGTTTTTTATTTTTGTAATTCTTTTGGTGGTTTATATTTTGTGTTTACAACATTGGGTGTAATGGTAAAAGGTGGGAAACAACCTATATGTCCATCTGAAACAGATGATTAAGTGGGTTTATAGAAAACTAACCTTATATGCAGGGAACTTGGGATGCCTATGGAAGATGTACGACAGAAGAGAAAGGGCTCAAAATAAATTTCCTGTACGGTTTGATTTTTATTGAACCATGTAAATATAATTGGTTTTGATTCAACAAAGTAATTATTACTGGGTAATACTGAGACATGTAAAATATGATTTATTAAAGAGATAGAAAGAAGAGAATTGAAAAACCAAGAAGATTCAGCAGAAGTTTAAGCCGAACTCCTAGTCCACCTCCCTTCAGAGGCAGAAACACAGCGATGGATGCACAAGAAGCTTTAGCTCGAAGGTGTGTGTATTTTTTATTTGATGCATTGTTTTTTTCCTTCTCACCTTGAAGTACTCAATTGTGTGGATATAACAAATACTTTCAGTCAGAGGAGAATTCACATAATTAAATCTAGCCGTGACTGTGTGGCACCTTTGTGATATACAACTAAGTGGTTTGTTGATTTTCATCTTAAAGATTTACTTATTTGCACAACCAGATGGATTTCTGTGTCTGCAGCAAGCAGTTCCTCTTTTTCCTTCATGATTAACTGATTCATTTTTCTCAAATCTGGACTCTTAAATATTTTTAGTTTGCATTTGAAATTTAAAATCTTGGATTTAAAAACTCTTAAGCTTGCCTTTAAAACTATTTTGTCTATTTTTTTTCCTTTTTAAGAAAACAAAGTCTGAAATAATGAAAATGGCAAATAGTAAGCCTATTTATTTGATCTTGTAAATTTTACTGCTGACAGCATAGGAAAATCATTGTATTTTTAAATTTTCTAGTGTTTCAAAGGTGGGTGATTGTGGGACTACACACAGCAAGGCTATCTAGTTGAAATCTATCTGCAAAACCATTGAAAAGATTGCCTCCTAGAGAAAGGCAAGAAGTAAGGTAAAATCCAGGCGCTGGTTTGCAGGTTTTCCCATGTTCTGAAAACTAAAATCTTTTGATTTTAATTTTTTTCTTTATGAAATTGAGTTTGTATTTTTTTTTTCATTACAAAAATACAGTTATCACAATGTAACCTGATGGGCTGCTGCCCTACGAACCCAGCCTGGCAGAAACTCCAGCTGAACAGCAGCAGCAGCAAAGGTGTGAGCTCATCCCTTCGTTCCATTCACCTTAGTGAATGGTGGTGTTTCCAAACCTGCAATGACCATTTAAAATATGCAACCTATAGTAGTCAATCATTTTCTTTCTGAAACTCAAATCACCAGAGTTAGGAATAATTTTTATAGTAGCTGAACTGATTTAAAAGAATGGCCCATTAACTCTGATCATGGATTTTTTAAAGTCCTAAAATTTGTGCTTAATTTGCTGTAGGTTAATTGTGTTTTAATTTTTGGATTTTATTAAAGTTGAATCTATCACTAACATCTAAAACTTTTTTTACTTAAAAGTCTACGTAGTGATTTTTCAGATGACAACTTTACATGAAATGCTCTAATTTCAGAATACCAGATTATTTCTTGGCTACATTGAAATTTGAAGGGTGGTATTTCTGTTAGTAAACTACAGTATGTAAACCATTTTTTGTTTTTTGTTTTTTTTATGAGGACTATTTTAAAACTGCTTTGGAGATACTTTTAATATCAGTGGATTTACATTTTAAAGTTAATCCTAATCAGAAACTTTTTTCCAAGGACAAATTCAGGTCTGTACTGTATGTCTGTCTTCAGTACATATTGAAGGGAACAAAATTTTAGATTGTTACATTTTATGTAATTTCAGCAATTGATAAAGCAAATGCCAATTTACAACCATTGTGTTTATACCCATAGCACCCCCTCAAAAAAAAAAAACCCACACATTTTCCCCAATCCTTGCTGCCCCTTTATACCATATTAAAGGAGGGAAAGGGTGGTGTAATTTAGGATTGGTAAATCAAGGAATCTTTGGAAGAAAAGGGTTTTCTCTCTCCGGAACTCATTTGGAAGATAGCATTACTTTGCTGTATAGCAAGTAGGTACTGACTTGACAGTGCATTTAGTTTAGTATGTGTATTCATTAGTGAATTTAGTGTGAACCGGAATTTGTTTTTGTTTTGTTTTAAGATAAGTTTGTGTTTCACGTTTCAAAAGCTGCTAGTAAATTTCTTCACCTCCTGAAAGTAATTTTCTAATTCTGAGTCTTTCCCATATTATTAGATTATGCAGAATGGCAATTCGGGTTTGCTTGCCCTTTTTAAAATTCTCTATTTCTGACTACTTACTTTTTATTAATTTAGAGACTTAATAAAATCTCTATAAATATAAAAATCATTGTCTCCATGTTTTGGTTGGCCTTATTCTCTATCAGCCTCCCCTAAGAAGCATTTAGGTAGTTCTGTAAATATTGTATATAGTCTAAGATTTTCTCAGCTCTCAACATATTTTCTGAGTATGTCTGTTGGCAAGATTTAATTTGATCCTTAACTCCTGTAACCAGCACAGTTATTTTTATTTCTTAACCATTTTAACCATTCTCTATGGGAACTGTATAAACTATTAACAGTTGTTGGCTATTCAGTGAATTTAAAATGTTTAAAACCAGTATTGAGGTATTATTTGACTGATACCATCTTGAGAATGATTACTTTTTTCCCCACACACAGATACCAATTTGGAGAAGATGTTAAACTTATTTAAAAATTCCATATAAAATGTCTTCTGCTTATATGAGTATACATATAGAGGTAAATATTGGCTTTATATTGTTTTTAATTTATTTAAATTATTTTTGACAGGTTGGAAAGGGCAAAGAAATTACAAGAACAGCGAGAAAAGGAAATGGTTGAAAAACAAAAACAACAAGAAATGGCTGCAGGTAATTTTTTAAATTTATTTTGGAAGTTTGGCGTTTTGTAAAAAGTTCAGAAAAGGAACAGGAAGAAAATCACCTATGATCACTACTGCCCATCAGTGTGCTATAAACATCTTTTTTAAATTACTGTTGAATTGGGAACATGTTAATTTTAGTGTTACTTTCCTACTTCATAAAAATCTTCATGCATATATGTTTCTGATTTCATCAATGTAGATAATTTTGAGAAGTGAACAGTGACTATTCTTGTTCATGTAGCACGTTAACCATCACTGTACATGTCTTATAGTTATGGTTTTAGAAATGCAGTTTGTTAAAGGATAATAAACTTAAGTAGAATATGTATTATATCTTAACTGTTTAAGCAGTCAGGTTTTTTTTAGACATGACACAAACACCGCCTGAGGATGATTTAAAGGTGATTAGAGAGCTTGTATGAAACGTAATCTGGAAGGTATTTTTTGTTGTTTTTCACATTCCTAGTAAATAGTGGTACTTTTAAAAATAACAAAATTTTGTAATCTTCCATTTGGTTTTTATACATAATTATAACAATTTTTATGATTGGATTCCCATTAGGATAGTAATGTCAGATTTTTTAAAGGTTATATTCTGCACTGACAAAAAATGTAATTAGAACAGTCCTTGTTTACAGAAGATTGACTCAGTTCCTAACTCAACCACTTAAAATGAAAGTACCAGGCATGGCACTTAACTTTTATAGGACTTGGGCCTAGTATCTGTTAAATGTACATAATACCCACTTAATAGTTTTAAATGTTTTGTATAAGTTTCAAATGAGATGTTGTGAAATCATTTTGTAAGCTATAAAGAACTGTACAAATAAAAGTTTTTAGTGTATCTATAAGGGATCATATACAGAGATATTTGTTGATGAATACATTGAATAAATGTTTGCTAAAATGTTACTGCATTGTAAGCTAACATTCAGTCATTTCTATATATTTGATGAAAATATCCTACTTTTTTGCAGATTAGTAGCTATTTTATATTAACACTGTATTACTGAAAATCAGGAGGTTTGTTTTAGTTAAAATCCATACTTGTCTCTTTAGCAGCTGCAGCAACCGGAGGTTCCGTCCTCAATGTTGCTGCCCTGTTGGCTTCAGGAACGCAAGTAACTCCTCAGATAGCTATGGCAGCTCAGATGGCAGCCCTCCAGGCCAAAGCTTTGGCAGAGACCGGAATAGCTGTACCTAGCTATTACAACCCAGCAGCTGTGAATCCAATGAAATTTGCTGAACAAGAGAAGAAAAGGAAAATGCTTTGGCAAGGCAAGAAAGAAGGAGTAAGTTCTTTTATTCCCTCTCCTCTTTTCTCATTTATTCCTAATTAGCAGTTGCTTAGGAAAACAAATTTGGATTAGAAGAGATTAGTTTGGGTTTATCTTCTAAGGACCTGACAAGAATAATTTAATTTGCAATAGTTATTTAATACTTGGGGGGGGAATGCATGGTCTAAGTCAGGATTTCAAAGGAAACTCGTATTTCCATACATTTATTAAAGGGGAAGGGTTTGTTCCTTAGCTTTGATATTTTTTTCTTGAGAGGTTTTATGAAGTATTAGTAATTCTTTGTGTCATTATTCTATAGTAGAAATCTTAAAGTAATTATAAACTCCATTGATGCCATAAGTGCTATTATTTCTTTTACTTAGACTATATTATGGAGAGATTTAATATGCTAATAAAAGATATTTAAATTGTACATATCCTAAAAATTCAGTGTTTCTTAACAGGACAAATCTCAGTCTGCTGAAATATGGGAGAAATTGAATTTTGGAAACAAGGACCAAAATGTCAAATTTAGGAAATTAATGGGTATTAAGGTGAGTTATACACTTCATATTAAATTTCATATTAACATATTTTTAGAGTAACATTGGTTCTCAACTCAAATGTTATTTTAGTGGTATGTCACCTCTGGGTACTTTCTAATGCTTTTTTGTTTTACGTTCTCATTGATTTCACAGAAATAACACAACCCAGTGTTTATTGTCACTAGTCGACAGTTCAAATTGTTCAACATAAATTAACACATTTGTTGATTATTACTGTTTATGCCCTAGGTGAATCTTGTTTGCGATCATAAGCTTCTCTTAGTAAATAAAAATGAAATTGTAAAAACGAAATTAATGAATTTGCTTTAAAAAAATGATAATCACTGCCCATTTAAGGTTAACTACATTCAATGAGGGTAGGACCTTCTTAACTTGCAATGTTTCAAGGAAGCTTTTTTGTTTTTTTAAAGAAGATCTAGAAAGTTGATCTTATGCTGAATGCAATGTAAATATACAGATAAGGTATTAGGTTTTATACAACAATCTGGAAAGGTCCACAAATGTTCAGTTCATTTTTCATTGAAGGGAAATTTGCCTTAAACTGAGCTGCCCAGACCTGGCTATTTTCAAACATGTCAGAGGGCTTTTGTTAGCCTTCCCTGCATTATTCTTACCTCAGCTGCCTATGTGACTCTCTTAATCCTGGGTCCTGCCCAAATGGTCACCTTTTTTAGTCTTTCTCGCCTACATTTTTGAAAATAGGAAGCACTCTATCCCCATTTCTTACTTTACTTTTCTCCGAGTCATTTATTCACACCACACACTGTCAGGCATGTTCTATGTGTTCTTTTTCATGCCCACTGAAATGAAGTTGATCTTTGTCACATCCTACTCTGTCCCAGGATCTAGAAAGAATATTGCCTTGCATTCCATAGGAGCTGAATGACTAAATGGAAGGCAAGTAAGGTCAAATATGTACCCCTAAAGTGGGATCTACCAGTACTTTTAAGTGAGAGAAGTACTTCTTATTTCGATGTAAATTCATTTTAATATATTTTATATCTGTTATTTAGAGTGAAGATGAAGCTGGATGTAGCTCTGTTGATGAAGAAAGTTACAAGACACTGAAACAGCAAGAAGAAGTATTTAGAAATCTAGATGCTCAATATGAGATGGCAAGATCACAAACCCACACACAGAGAGGAATGGGATTGGGTTTCACATCATCAATGCGAGGAATGGACGCAGTTTGAAGATCACACTTAATATCTGGGACTTTATAGACTTCTGGTTCTGATGTCAGGTCCTTGTTCACCAAACAGCTAGCATTCTAGCTTGCATGGGTGTTGCATTGACTTTAATTTATTGAAAAATACAATTTTTTTGTAAATATCAGATCAGTGATACTGGTGTTAGTGTTGTAATCAGGTTATACCCACTTCCATTAAACTTGACAGTACTATAGAAGGACAATATTTTTTAGTTCATGAATTCTACTTTTCAAATATATAAAAGCTGCAGGTGGGGTAAAATCTCATACATGGATTTTTCGTGTCCACTGTCTTGTGTACTTTTGTACTTAACCTTGTACAGTTATTTTCATCTCTTGAAACATGAAAGAAATGCTATGTAGATGTTCTTTAGAAGATCTGGCCATTTGGTACATAATCCAGCACAAATAAGCTGGGTGGTGATGATAATAAAAATGGTTTTCTCAAAACTGGTGTTAATTTAAGTTACCTGGAATTCTTATTTGAATTTGTTTTATGGTATCTGTAGCACTTTGCAATTGCTAATTAGAAGACTGGTTAGGATTTTTTTTTTTAAGAAAAATTAACTGCTATAGGCAATACCATGGTGAGCAGAAATGTAAAAGGAAGTTGGGAGGAGTGAACAAACTAAAGTAATACTGTTTTCCTACTGTAATAAGGGACAGAATTGGTGTACAGTATTTGTTAAATATTCCATATGTTATTCAGGAAATAGATTAATACATTAAAGGGATGTAAGCACTTTTATTTTAATAAAGTGCCTTATAACATGCTCTTTGTATGCCCTTTGCTCATTATCCCCTTTGAAGTCTTCTCTAGCATAAAGTATGGATACGAAAGACACATGTTAACTGCTTCCTGTTTTTCTGCAGTGTCTTAATGAGCTGGCCATACATTATGAATAATATGGTTCATCCTGCATTCATCTAGAATTTCAAGAATTTTTGTAGGCAAGTTTAAACAGATTAAACTAATTTTGACTCATTTAGTATAATATCCAAAATAATTGAATAGGTAATCAGTATTTTTAGTTGAGATTTTATGTTCTTATTTTCATGCTTATTTTTGAAATCCAGGGGGTATATTATATTTTAACATCCCAGTTGGAACTAGCCACTTTTAAAGTTACCAGTAGCCACATCTAGCCAGGGGCAACCATCCTGGACAGTGCAGACTTAGGGGAAGGCATATAGGTAATTGTCAGGTGCATAATTAAAGAAGCAATTACTGGAGTCGAGGCAGGGGCTAGTTAACTGCTTGACTCAAATTGGGAAATGTGTTCATTGGGAAAATAAACACTCCATATTTTTCATGAGCATAAACTTTGTTACCAATTTCCTAGCTGTTACTGTTACTTCCAGTTTGAAAGCCTGTTACTCCGAGATGGATGTATCATGTATCGGGCTTCACTCTTGATTGCCACAGGAACGTAAGTTGCTGTCCAGGAGATATTTTAAAGACATAGTGGCTAGGCAGGCAGTAAGACAAGAAAACCACACTATTTGAGTCAAGGTATGATGGTACTCTGAGAATAATTGACTTTGAGGGTAAAATAAGCAAATTCAAAGATGAGGTTTCCAATTTGGATAATGAGGTGTTTTGATTAAAATTAGAGAAATACCATTGAAGAAGTAGGTTTAAAAAAAGCTTGGAAGGAGATAGAAGCAGACCTCTCCTAGTTCTCCCATTGGCTGTTCATCAGTTTCTGTAGTTGTCTCAGCCTCAATCTTGGCCCTCTAGGACCCAGTCCTAGACTTCTTCCCATTTTTCATTACTCTATCATAGTTGTATCTACTTTCCATAAAAACTTGAACCAGCCAAATGCTAACCTTAAGTTCAGACCTCTTTTTTGGAGCCTTACCCAAGTATCTAGCTGCTGCCATGGGCCTAAAATTTTACCTCCAATGTACCAGTGCTTCAGAATTTTCTTCCACTAGTCCAGTTACTTCTCTGTAAGGATGAGGTTGCCTGGAGGTATCACATAAACAAAATGAAACAAACTCTGCTCCAAAACGTGGTCAGCATCCACTGTCTTCTATCTCAATCATTTATTCAACCAGTTTAAGTCAGAAGCCTGGCAAATAATTCATAAGCCTTTTGTCTCATTCCACACCAACAACCCTTCAGTTATCTGTTGCTTTAATTGTATCTTAAATACCCTCTATTAAATATTAACTCCCCACCACTTGCCACGACCCTAATCCGAGATAACATTTTATTTCATTACAAAAATCTACTAGTCTCAGAATTTTACTTTTGTTCCATCGCCAATCCTTTTACTACTATGCAATAAGGACCATTCCATCAAGATGAAATTTTGTGGGTCACAGACACACCACCTATTTAAGATGTTGAAATGACTTACCAATTTTTTGAGGTGGAGAAGGATCCCTAATGTGGTCTGTGAGTACTGGCCTAATGTTCCAGCCTCATGTTGCTCCACTCTGCTTTTTCGTTATACATTGCATTTCTTCAGCCATTTCTTCATTCCCTCACAATCTCACCACCAACTTTGCTTCTCATATTTCAGTTAAAACCTCAATTCTTCAGTTCACTGACTCCCACAGAAATGTCAAGTTTCTTACATATCCATAACTTACTGTTTTTATTTCATATATATATTTAATATTTTCAATACCCATCAACATCCACTTCGATCCAAGAGTGGGAGAATTAATTTTTTTCTTTCTTTTGCTAGACTAGCCTCCACGAAAACGGGAACTTCTCTATTTTGCTCACTCTTGCATCCTCAGGTCCTACAACAGTGCCTGGTACATTGAACGTGGTAAATAAATGTTACTGAATGAATGAGTGAGTGAACAGGAGAAACCACCAAAAGCCGCAACAGACAAATCTGAAAGAATCTAATGATCAAGCTAGTTTTTCATAAGAAAAGTGAAACAAGCCGAATAAACTGAACTAGCTCTTCCAAGATCACAACAGAGTGTGGCAAAACTGGAGTTCCTTACTGTCTTCTTCCTGTTTGGCACAAACACCAAGAACCTGTAATAAGCCATGCATCGTGCTCTGACTTTTCAGCCTCAGACCCCTGAACAGGGACCAACCATACTGTAACACATTCTGATCTAGTTGGATTTTCTTCTCGTTTAAAAAAAGGGCCGTTCCAGTATGCAATGCAAACAATGAGTTAACAGTCGCTTAGAAACCACATGTCCCAGCATGCCACGCTCCCGAGCAATCTCGGAAGTGCTATGAGAGACGCCGTTGCATTCTGGGAGTTGTAGTCCCACAGCCCTGGCCTGCCCCTTGTGCCGCTACGGCGGCCTACGTTTTGAGGAAACCCTACTGGGTAGCTTAGCGCAGCCGGAGCCCTAGGGAGCGGAGGCGCCCTACAACCTTCGCCCCCGGCCGGATGGCCAGCTCCGCCTCTTCTCGTATCTTTCCCACATCCCAAAATGGCGGCGGAGGTGGATTTTGGCGACCTAGAGCTGTTTGAGGCGTTTGACCACCCAGAGGAGTCGATTCCGAAGCCCGTTCACACCCACTTCAAGGACGACGACGGCGACGAGGAGGACGAGAATGGGGTCGGAGACGCGGAGCTGCGGGAGCGGCTCCGGCAGTGCGAGGAAACCATCGAGCGGCTCCGCGCCGAGAATATCCTTCCCGCTCGCTGGGCCGTCACCCGGGCGTGTGGTGGGTGGCGCGGGCGGGAGTTCCGCGAGGGGCAGAATTCAGGCTGAGAATCCAGAGTTCGGGCTGCGTAAGCTGCCCCCGAGGCCTCGGAGCCGACCTCTCCCGTTCTGGGAGCCGTACCCTAGACTAGATTCTCTCCTTCCGCGCCCCCAGTCTGGGGCCGGTTTTTAGGGTTATTCCGGACCGCTGCAGCTGTTCACGTTGTAGACTGTTCGCCCCTTCTCTTCCCCTCCTTGGAGTCATTATCCGATTTCATTTTTTGCAGCCAAGCTGAAGTTGATACAGTCATATTATAGTCGTATATTAGGAGATACCGGATAGTTAGACCTTCGCGCAAACCTGTCTTTATGGTGGGGCAAATGTTACTGGTCCTAGGATGTAGAGTTGGGGGCCTTAAGGATTCGAGGCAAGCAAAGAGAAATTGTTCGTTGCTTGATTAACACTGGAGAATCATTTTAAAGTTCTTGCACTTTGAAATAGCTTCCGTGGTAAAGGTGTGTTGCAAAGCTTCAGGTAAAAGGCGCCGAGTAAGTTTCCGTTTGGCTTTAGTTTACAGCCTTTCTAGCAAGATGTGTTCGTATGTTTTTTACATTCTTAGAGGTTTTTGTTTTTACTATACATACAGATGATTTGTTTCAGATAGTTTTCCTAGTGTAAAGACTCCTGAAAGCAGTTGGTAAATTATCGTTTAAGGTTTTCTAAGCCCTTTTCCTTTTTCATTTTATTACGGAAAATTTAAAAACACAGAAAACTTACTTTACAGTGAATATTCATAGATTCCATCCTAGATTCTTCAGTCGTTAACAGCTTGTTACACTGCGCTTATTTTATGCAATATCATGATGATTTTGACTTGGAAAATTTTCTTGAGTGGCTGAATAACGTTTTTGGTTCAGCCTGTTAGTCCCCTTTGAACTGCACGACCCTGCCTTAGAAATTTTGATGTTGGAAGGAATGAAAACAATATTTTAGTTTTAAGTCCCTGAAATAGAACAGGAGATCGGTTAAGTGTGTCATCCTCAAAATGTTTGTGAAGCTTTTAATGTTTATAACTTTGACACCAAAAGTGAGTTAATAGATGAATTTTATGATCTTCATATTTCTATTTAATGAGGACTTATACTCCTTAACAAGTGATAACATGAAGAACTTAAAAGAAAATTGAACATTCTGACTCGACCAAGGTATGAGATTTTTGAAATTACACCAGAGCCATCCTTTATTTTCTACAATGATACTAATTCTTAATCACAGTTTTTTTTTCCTAAAAAGAATGTTTAGGATTTTTGTTATCTATTTGTTAAGTGTACTCTGAAGAAGTCAGCGTAATGATGCTTTATTTTTAATTTGTAGGGGTAAAATTTGAATTCTCATAACTGCATTGAACTTTGAAACTGACTGAGTGAAAATATTTGCGAAACACAATCTGGAAATTTTTGATTTAGTGGACAGAACAGGAAGGTTATCAACCCAGCTGTACCTATTCAAAAACTTCTGGAAAGTTAGAATTAAGATTACAGTATTAATCTAGCTGAAGATTTATTTACACAATTAAAGTGTGTTCATAAATAGAAATAATGCAAGAGATAGCATCTTAGAAGAAGAGAAAGTAGTTGCTTTTGAAAAAAGTACAGTGAGTAAATTTGCATTCGGTCATCTGATTCATCTGATTTCAACAGAAGATTAAATGTTGATATCTCTTAATATACATTTATGTAATAGGTCACTGAATCTAAAATATTTGTTAAAATACAAATTACATGGAATGGTATTTTAAAGCTTTCAGAATTTGGGGGTGTCATGATGCAGTTTCATGTGGACTTTTTTGTCCCTGGTACCAGCTGGGCTAACTGGCTACTTTAGTGACTGAAAGTTTGAAATTTTAGAATTTAGATGTATTTTAGAATATGTCTAAAGAATATCTTCCCTATGCCATACCTTCCTTCCTCTATGTGAGCACACTTTGTGGATCTAAACTCATTTTTGGTTAATAGTACATATATTTAATGTACTATTAAATGTACAAAAATCGTAACTGTATATAAATCATATATATATATACACAAAGATACTTTATTTAGACAAGCACATGCTTTGTAATAGAGTTGATAACTTAAACATTAAATATTTATTTAATGGGGTTATAGTCACCTGAGTTCAAATGATTATAGCATCATAGACTCTGCCAATTTATAAGAAGCAAGCATGAAAAGGCAATATATATATGTATTAGAATTAGTGCCCTCAGTGTTGTCAGACTGGCAAGCATTCTACGGAAAACCAAGGAAGAAAAACATAATTTAGATAAAATTTATACTGCAGGTCTCTTGATTTAACCCTTATGTTTGAAACTTTCATGGTCAGAAGTGTCTTTTCTTTTTATCCAATAAACATTGTGAGGTTTTTTTTTCTTTTTTTACTTTATATTATGAAATTTTTCAAACATACAGAAAGTGGAAAGAATAGTGCACTTAGTACCCATATTTTCATCACTTAGATTTAGCAGTTAATACTTTGCCATCTTTCCTTCTAATCCCATATACATATTTTACCCCAAATATTTCAGCTTTTTTTTTTTTTTTTTTTTAAAAAGACATGCAGTACCACACCACCATTATCACACCTAGTGACCGGCATGATTTCTTTAGTAATCTTCCCAGCCGTATTCACATTTCCCCAGCTGAATGTCTTTATTGCTAATTGCTCAACCTGGACGCCAGTCAAGGGCCATGCAATTGTATGTAGTTTTTAAAAACATGATGTATTTTTTAAAATACTTGTGCGAATTGAAACAAGTCTCTGAGCGTCTTCATATTTTAACTTTATTTTTCTGCTTGATGTGAGCAATTCCATATACAGGCTGATTTATTTCCCATGCTGGACAGGTAGAGGGATTTGAGGCAGGTGTGGCGGAGTCAGAGGTACAGCTGCTCCCGATCACCGGAGGGCTGTGGAGCCTGTTTCTGGGCTGCATTCTAGGTCTGGTTTTTGCAGTTATTTGAAAGTCAAATCCGGTAACAGTATATACTTCAACATCTTGACTTTAAAATCTTAGATTTGAGATATTTAGTGTGGTGGGCTCTGCCTTCCAAAGAGAGTCTACCCGTTTATTTAGAGTTGCGTCAATTTCCCATATATTTCCAACCCAAACTCACTCTGATTCTTTGAGAAATATATTTTTATAACCTGTGATTTATCCATTTCCTCCCTCTGCTCAATTTGTAAAGAAACAGCCATTAGGTAAAGAAACTTTTTGATTGAAAACTGAAAGAGTAACTGTAGTTTTTATTTTTTGTGAAATACTTTTTTAAAATTTGTAATGTAAAGGATACCTCTGTAAAACCGTTAAAGTAGGTAAAATTGGTGAAAACTGGAGTTCTTGGTGGTTCTTGATCTTATTTGTAAAATATTATATGATCTTTGGTACTTAAGAATTATAAAGTTTCTGTGTTTATATGTACATATGCAAGTTGTACTTTGATGTCTTCTAAGAATATGTTTTAACTTCTGTTTTAGTGGAATATTGGTGAACAATACTAAGTTAGATGGACCTTTATTACAGATTCTATTTATGAACAATATTATTTCAAAGTAAGTAACTTCCCCTTTCCTAAATATTATGAGCTGATGTATTTATGATACAATGTGTTCTATAAAGATACTGTTTTCATATGTACTTACACCACCTTTATTCTTTTACTTAAAATTTATGGAATCACGATTAAGAGCAAGGACATTAGAGTTAAATAAACCTGAATTGAATCTGGACTCCTCTACTTTGTACATGTATGAACCTGAACGGGTCACTGACCTTCTCTGCACATCAATTTCCTCGGTAGAAAACAGGATACTAATAGTAACTGCCTCTCAGGAGCTAAATGAGCACCTATAAGAGCCTAATAAATTCCTCTAATAAAAATAACCACTACACCATAACTAATGTTAGCCATTTCACTACCAAAATCAGGTAACTGAGTTTTCCTTGTTGGCTATCTTCAAAGCTTACCCACATGATTTTTTTTTTTTAAATAGCAAAACTAGACCTTTGTAAGCCTTCCAGTATGCTTGGGTCCAGGATGCATTCCTGCAGTGCTTGCTAGAATCTTCTGAAATGGTTTGAGACCTTGACCTGTCCCTTCCTGGGAACATGGTCACAGACATTTCAGACAGTTGCTTGCCCCCTCCCGCATCACTTAATTATGTTATCTTCTGTGCTAGGCAAAGTAAAGAAAGTAAAGGAACCACACAAAGAGTGTTACCTGTGTGGCAAGTCCACTGCTTCCTGCGTCTCAGCAGAGGGGGACCTGCGCCTCTGTGGGGCGGGCAGCCGGGTGGTCGGTGCAGCAGCACGGTGCTGGCCGGGCTGGCTCTGGCACTGCTGTCACCGTCACAGTCGGCCTCTAACTCAAGCTCCTGGCAGTCTTCTGCACCATTCGCTTGGGGGTTTGCCTGCAGAAATCTTAGAACGTCAGAGCTTTAAAGGGTCCTGACGGATCATCAAGTCTGTGAAGAGGAAGTTGGCTCTTGGCCCCTCCTGAGCTGAGCGCTAAAGAATATTTGATGAACTTGGTTCTTGACCTCAGTAGTTTTTCTTGCATTTTGCTTTATCTTTTTTCCAAGTTGAATATTTATATAGATGTTTCCTCATATGTGCAGAGAGAGTCTCTGGGAGGAGGGTGTGGAAGAACTGAATGCGCTGATTGTGTTGCAGAAATAGGTGGCTAGGAGACAGGGTAGGAAGGGAGCTTTTCGTTATGTAACTAACTCTTTTACTTCTTTTCAATTTTGAACCATTTACATGTACTATGTATCCAAAAATTAGGTATGTAAAATTCATAAATAAAATCCATTTAGTCTTTGGTTAAATGTTTACCAGTTGTTACATGCTAGGCTCTGTTTTCAGTTATCATAATCATTTTGTTAACTTGGCAACATTGTGTATTTTTTCCCCTAAGGAATAGATTCCTGAGTGTCACAAAGAGTCAGTGATTTGATAAACTCTGAAAAACAAAATAACAACGTTTATACATGACATCTTCTAAAAATGCAGAAGACTTCAGTCAATTCAATGTTTTACTCTATCTGGGTTCTGACCATTTTGTCCTCTTACACAGGCAATATCATCAAGAAATAGAGGAATTTGTATCAAATTTAGTAAAAAGATTTGAGGAACAGCAGAAAAATGATGTGGAAAAGACTTCCTTTAATCTTTTGCCCCAGGTATTTCAAACTTAAGAGACTTTAAGATTAGTAGGTTATGTGTTTCACTGCCAATTATTAGGCCACGGGGATCCTCTTGAATCAAAACCAAAATGATTGTTGAGGTTGTCTGTTCGCCCCTCATCCTTCCAGCTGGCTTCCTTCTCCGCAGTCTGACCAGAGCAGCCCTGAGGCTTTCTCTTTGATTATGGCTGCTTTTCTTAGAATAGAGTCATATTCACACCTGGCTACACTCAAAATTAAAGGCTTTTTTTCCCCATTCCCTAACTTGCACACATGATTTAGTGCAGAAAATTAATTTCAGCCCTGGGAAAAAAATCTGTATTTCTGGGGTTTATAAAAGATGGATTCTTTTAATCTAAAATGAACAGGTTCATATACTGTCCTTTCTTTCCCTACTAGTTTAAAAAAATCAATAACATGCCCAAAGAAGTCTGAGAAATTTCATTTAGAACATGAATTTATATAAGAAAATGAGAATTGTGATTTATGGGCTTTTTTTTTTTTTAAGTTAAAAATTAAGGTAAGTAGAGTCTCTCAAATAAGGATATATTGCTGTTCATACGTAGAGGCTGGAGAATGGAGTATTCTGATTAATTGATTTTTTTTAATCACCTTTAGTTTTCACCTATCCTATACAATTTTTAAAGGTTCAAGGAACAAAAATACATTTAACCATAAAAACCGTACTGAATAGAATTTAAATTTTGATTCAAGAAGCATTTCAGAATTTTGTTGTGGCTTGTGGTCTGTAAGGGTTATGTTAAATTACATATTTTTTAATCTTATTTCAAGATAAAGTCTTTTGTCTGTTTCAGTGTCGAAAGTTCCATAATTAATATTTATTAACATAAAAGTCATAGTGTATGCTGATACTTCAGAAGACTATCTTTTATAGCTTTTTAACTTTTCCACTTGGGAAATTTCTTTTATGAACATTCCTACCTAGCTTAACTTCTAAACTCACCCTAATTAATGACAACAATGAATTCAAAATCTTACATACCTTAATGGCATATATTACAAAATAAAAGTGAGTGTATTCAAATTCTTACTATTAGAAATTTAAAGTTGTTAAAAACCAGTCACCTCCTGTAACGTATGTTTCTTTGTTTAGCCATCCAGCGTTATGCTAGAAGAGGATCATAAAGTAGAGGAATCCAGTGCCGTTAAAAGCAACAAGGAAGCTTTTAGTGTAAGTTTGGACATTTAGTTTTGAATTCTGCAGATATGTTTCCTATCCTATGTCAGTTGAGTGGCATTTGAATGGCAAAGTGGTGCAGTCATATGTCATCAAATGATCACACATTTTGAATTTGTAATAAACAACAGTGTAGACTTCAGCCTTTTAATAGTATAGTTTGCTTACTATTTCTCGTGACTTGGGGGCATAGTAGATGTACTTTAGAGGACTTAATTTTTGTCCTGACTATCCTCTCTGTTCATTTTCAAGAACTTGGATGAAGCTATAGAAAGCATGCTTGTGGAACTTACCGATGGATGAAGCTGAGAGGGATAAATAATGTAATAGGTGGCAGATCTGAAATTTTAAATGTTGACAGACTCAAATAGTAGGTGAGAAATGAAGGAAGCTTAACAGGGATGAACCTACATTTAGGCCTTTCGGTACTTATACAAAATTCAGCAGTGTCAGTACAGCGTTGTGGTGTGATTTTGCCACTGAAGCTTTTTTTTACAGAAGATGATGCAATCCTAGATTCCGTTAAAGGAAGACTAGTTTTCATGTTTACGGAGTACTGTGTCCCACTGATAAGCCACAGTTTTAAAGACCTGGGGGTACTGGGATGACGAGGAGCCCGTGAATTTTACTGAAAAGATTTACAACTATGTACACATCTCTGCGAATGTGATGAAGGCTACTGTTTGCAAAGGTCTCGTTTTGTTACCCCGTGGAGTGCCTAGTGTAGAAGTAGGACTAGTGATTGGATTGAGTACAAAGAGGCACATTTCAGCTCAGCTTTTAGAAAATGGATATGTCTCTCAGAGGTGTGAAAAATGAAGCAGTCTCTGTTTTTTTAAGTGAATTCCGTGTTACTGGATAAAATCAAGGAAAGACCAAGATGCTATCAGGTCCCTTTAAAGAAAGATTCTTGAACTTGAACTAGATAACTTTTCAATTCCCTTCTAAACTCTAAGGTTCTGAGAGTTAAAGTGACACCTTCCTGGAAACGGGGAATTTTGCATTTATTAATTTAGTCCTTAAATAAATATTGACTACATGCTTCTTGCTGCCAGGGACCATTCTAGGTTCCAGGGACACAGCAATGAGAGGGGAAAGAAAAAAGATAAGTCCCTGCTCTCACTGAAGTCCATCCTAGTGGGGATGGCAGTGCTCAGAAGGAAAATAACCATGGGGGCATTTGGTTTGGTGGGTGAGTCATTACTGACAGCCTCTCTGAGCCAAGACCTGAGAAAACTGAGGAAGCGAGCTGTGCTGCGGGTGGAGTGGAATGTGGAGGGTGCTCGGGGCAGCGAGGACAGTGAGTGGGAAGCCCGAGGCAGAAGCAGACCCGCTGCTCACGGTGGGGCCGGGGCTGCCCCGAGCTCATTACAGATACCGCCCCGGAAGGTGCTGGCCTTCTCAGTGTACAGATGAGGAAGCAGACGGAGAACACTGAGTAGCTTGCCGTGGTCCCTTTGCTAGTAAGCGGCAGAGCCAGGGCTTGAATCCAGGTTTCTGACTCCAGAATGTATCATCTGAATCCTTATGACTCGCTGTCGGCCACAGTGAGGACTTTGGGTTTTACGCTGAGTGAGATGAGAAGCCACTGTGGAGGGGTTTAAGGAGAAATGTGACCTGATGCAACTTGGATTTTTAAAAGAACTAGCTTCTCTGTGGAGAAGAGTCTGTAGCTGGTTACATGTGGAGGCTGGATACAGATGAGGAAGTTACTATATTCCTCAGGTAAGAGAATATGGCAGCTTAGGCTGCAGCGGTCGTGGTGGCAGTGGAGGTGGTGAGAACCCGGATGTACTTGAGAAGTAGAACTCAGTAAACGTATTGAAGAGTTGGATGCAGAGTATGAGAGAGAATGATCAGAATGACGGGGGATTTTTTGTTTTGTTTTGTTTTGTTTTGTTTCATCAGTCAAGGGTGATAGATTCAAGTCATCATTGTGCAAGAGAATGAACGGCAGGTGTTTGGTCTGAGCTACTGGAGGGTATCATTGCCTTCTCTGCGATGGGAAAGGCTGGCGGGAGGAGCAGCTTTGGAGGGGTGGAGCCTTAGATCAGTGAGTTTGAGATGCCACTTCCTGTCCAGGGAGGGCTGTCCAGTCAGCACTTGCAGGTACAGGATTGGAGTTTAGGAACGGTCAGAGCTGGGCTTTGAGAGTTGTCAACATAGAAATTATATTTCCACCCACGAGTCTGGATGAGTCCCCTCGGAAGTGAAGGTGGGGAGAGACCTAAGGACTGAGCCTTACAGAGATTGGAGAGATGAGAAGGCTCTCACAGAGAAGACTGAGGAGGACTGATCAGCAAGGAAGGAGGAGGATGGAGAGAATGGTGTCCTGGGAGCCAAAAGAAGAAGGGGTTTCTAGAAGGAAAGGAGGAATCAGCTGTGTTAGTTGCTGCTAATAGGCTGAGCTGCAGACTGGGAACTGTCCACTGAACTTGGCCACGTGGGGTAAGCCCTGGTCAAATAGCTCAGGGCAGTGCGAGGACCAGAAAGAAGCCTTGCTGGAGATGTTCCAGAGAGAATGGCAGTGTCATTTAAATAAAAAAAAAGTGGGGCAACTATTCTAGATTAAAAGTGGCTCAAAAGAGAGTTAACATGAATGGCAGTGTGTGAAGCTTAATCAGATGCTGGCTTACGGAGGAAGAAAGCTGTACAAGACATTTTGGGGACAGTTGGGGGAAACTCAATAATAGCTTGGATATAGATGATATTAAGGAGTTAACTGATTTTCTTAAGTGTGACGATGGTATTGGAATTTGTAGGAGAATGTTCTTATTCTTCGAAGGCTCATGGTGAAGTATTTAGGGGTGAAGTGTATGAAAAGAGTTTGTAGCTGGTTATGTTTGGAAGCTGGAACCCGGGCAGGAAGTTACTGCATTAATCTCAAGCAGGAGAATATAACGGCTTAGACCAAGATGATAGTGGTGGTGACTTAACTTTTTTAAAAGGGCTCAGTAAATTGTGTGTGTGTGTGTAGAGAGAGAGATGTGCACACAGAAACGGCAGTTGCTGTTGAATTGTTGAATCTAGATGGAGGAGTACACGGGTGTTCCTTGTACCATTTTTTCCGACTTTTCTGTAGGAAATTTTTCCAAGAAATTGGAGGGAAAGGAAAAGAGTGATTGGGAGGAAAGGAAATGGAAACAGTAAATATGTAAATATAGACAACCTTCTGAGGATCTTGCTGCAAAAGGAAGCAAAGACATGGGGAATTGGAGGGAAAGACAAGAGTTGTTGACAAGCTTTTGTTTTTTAACTGGAGAGAGTGCAGCTGACAGTAATGATGCAATAGAGAGGAGAAAGCCAGTGATTAGGAGACAGGGGAACTCAGTGATGGAGATTTTACTTACACGTCAGAATCCAGCTCCTTTAACTAGGGAGTTGATTATTCTAATAAATTTCATCCAGGAATAGATGGTTAAAACAATTAATCATAGTCTTACATTATTTAATGTCTTTTTTTTTCTGCTTAAATAGCAATATTTTTTGACTTGTTTTCTGCAGGTTGTAGGAAGTGTCCTGTATTTTACTAATTTTTGCCTTGATAAATTGGGGCAACCGCTACTAAATGAAAACCCTCAGCTTACGGAAGGATGGGAAATACCCAAGTATCCTACATAGTGAATGAAGATCTTTATGCATCTTGCCATTAAGTTCACCTTTAAAAAAAAAACCAAATTTTGCAGACTATGATAACTATTCCTTAATAAAACTCACTAAAGGTACCAGCAAGTCTTCAGCCACATTGTTTCTCTAGAAGGGCAAGAAATACAAGTAAAGGCAAAAAGGTTTGTGTGGGGAGTCGTTTTTGTTTTCTTCTTCTTCTTTTTTTTTTTCTTTAACAAAAACCATAAGCTCTTTTAGCTTGAAAAGTTAATATTCTTTACTGCTGGTTTACTAGAAATAAATTAACAGGTTAAACGAGAATTTCAATATATAGACATGTGTTAAGTGTTTAAATCGACCGTATTGGAATTCACTGGCTCACGCCTGATGTGCCTGGGTGGGTGGAAAGGTGGAATTGCTGCTGTCAGTTTGATTGCTGTCTTGTAACCATCTGCCCCTTTCCACGTGGCCTAAAGGAACTTTGATAATCTGTTTGCCTCAGTTCCTCCGTTATTAACTACGGACAAAACTCAGGTAACACACCAGTCGGGAACTTGAGGGTTTTTGGTTAAAAGACGTGGTTAAAAGCACTGCTTGTTTAAATCGCTAAGCACAGGAGGTGACTAATGTCACTGCAGACATCAGTAATTTGGGATCTACATGCTTTCTTGTCTCTCGTACACTTTGCTGTCACACAGACTTTGATTGATTTGCTTTTATATTTCTGTTTACATTATGAAAATCTTTGTTTTTTTGACCAAATAGGCCAAAGCCTCACTGTTTCAATTGTGGTTCTGAAGAGCATCAAATGAAAGATTGCCCAATGGTAAATTTTTCTCATATAAAGAAAATGTCTTTGAACCAGTGCTTTCTAATGTTTCCAGCAGATCTGTGGCATTGTGTGATCTGAGAAACTTCCTATCTTACTTTTCCGGTAGTCCTTGATTTTGAAATCTTTTCAGATTTGCACATAAGTTTTACAACATTGGATTTAAAAAAAATAGTAATTTATTACAGTGCTCTGTATTGGAGATGAATGAAACATTATTAGAGTTCATTTTTAGGCACCTTGTTTTAAAAACTTGATTTTATGTTATAGTAGCACTGAGGTAATAAAGGACTGCTTCTCTTCCTTGCTTATTTTTCTAAAATACCCACTCTCTTTTATGCTTGTTCCTTATACATTAAAACTGAAATAATCTATTTACTCAACTTAGACAAAGTGCTTATATATATATTTTTTTTAATTTCTGAAATATTTCTAAACTGCTTGATACCATTCTTTCCAAACTCATGACTGTTTAGCCTCGGAATGCTGCTCGAATAAGTGAAAAGAGGAAAGAGTATTTGGATGCCTGTGGTGAGACAAACAATCAGAATTTTCAGCAGCGGTACCATGCGGAAGAAGTAGAAGAAAGATTTGGAAGATTCAAGCCAGGAGTTATTAGGTACCTCCGTCGCTTTACCATAGAATGTCATTTCTGTTTCCCCCAGAACATATTTGGAACCTTGTGTGTATCTTCAGGGTAATAATCAGGTTACAGGTGTTCCCTAGCACGGCTCTAGGTAATGTACACCAGTTCATCCAGAAACGTTTATTGAAATTTTAGCTGTCTGTTTGATATGCACCATGCCACATGCTGTGTGGTAATAAGACACAGAATTGTTTTAAAATATCAGAACAGTATGTGTTTTCATCCAAACAGGAATACAGTACTTTTTCTTCCTCTTTTATTTTTCCTTAGCGAGGAACTCCAGGATGCACTGGGTGTGACGGACAAGAGTCTTCCACCTTTTATATATCGAATGCGCCAGCTGGGGTACCCGCCAGGCTGGCTCAAAGAGGCCGAACTAGAGAATTCAGGGCTTGCACTCTATGATGGAAAAGGTATAGTATGTTCAGTTAGATAAGTCAGCTTAAGTGTTATCTTTTTTTTTTTTAATCAATAAAACATGATGGAGATGGCTGGCTTGTTTGCTGTGTGCAGAGTTAACTAGAAAATACCACAATGGTGTTTCCTTTGTTTTGCAAGGAAGGAACTGAAACTTCCCTGGGAATTGTCAGATGGTTATCTGGACTTGCTCAGTGACTACCTAGGCTGCAGTATTAGCTCTCCAACTAGTCCTCATAAGCTCTTGCCTTTCTCAGTAATCGTAACAGAAGTACATCCGTCTCTGCCAGGAAACCTATAAAGTTTAGAATACATAAACCCTCTTATACTCTCCAACTTCTCTTAGGTATTTACTCTAGAAAAATATTCGTATTTGTGCACAAGGAAATATATGTATATAAAGGTGCTTTTTAGCATTGAATCTGATAGTGAAAAATTAAAAACAACATTGAGGCCCTGAGGGAGAACGGTTAAGTAAACGATGGTAGATCTGGGCTGTGAAATCCCAGCAACATTTAAAGAGTGGCGTGACTCTGTGTGAGCTAACATGGAAAATCCCCGTGCAGTGCTGTGTGTAAAAAGGCAAGTTTCTGGGTGACATATGTATTATGATACCATTGATCTTAAATTTAAAAAAGAAAAACCCACAAGGGTGAAAGAATGCTCTGTGTTTCTTATGAGGAATTATGTTTGTAAGAAGTATTTTTAAAAGATCTTAACCAAGAACGATCTAGATTTTAGGGTTTAGATTCACAGAGGCCATCTCTGACTACCTTATCTAAGCACGCCTCTCCCGTGTTCACCCACCTGCCCTGCCGGTCTTTACCCCTGCACTTTTTGTTTTTCTTCACACCATATCACAATTTGTATATATTTATTTATCATGTAACAGTGTCTGGCATGTGGTAGATAATAAATAAAAGTTTTAACCAATATACAGCAAACTCAACGGTGGTCATCCCTGAGGAGGAAAGCAGGATTGGGCTTCAGATTTTAGTTTTATCTCTAATGCTCTAGATTATTTAAAAAAAAATGAAAATGATTCTAAATATTACTTAGGTAATTAAACATATTTTAAACATTTTCTAAGCCCCTCCTTCTCCAATAGTACCAAGACTACTGAGCACAGGCTCTTTAATACATCCCCGGGTCCTGCCGCCGTGCACGTTAGTGTTGCTCGTGCCACTCTCTGTAAGGGCTTGCCTTCCTGTTGTTTTTTTCTCTCTTTTTTTTCCCTCTCTCTGTACTTTGATTTGTTTCAGTAGGGATTCTTTGGACAAAAGACTGTGGATGATTGAAAATCTCTTAAATCTCTCTTTAACCTTAAAGTTCCCTTTCTGGATTTTAACAACACTGTGTATTTTGTTCTTTCGAGTGTTTGGGATTTTGCTGATGCGGCCCCGTGGGGTTATTTTAGCATGTTTCTCTGTCCCTCTGTTTCCTGTGGATTGTGGTGGAATCAGTCGTTGGTAATCATCGTCTGTACCTATTAATTAACCACGGGTGGCACAACGGTTATATTCTCATTCTTTCATTACTTCTTGGCTCATTATCCCGATTACGTATATAAAGAGAAACATCTCATAAACGACTTGGTTATCTTAAGTATAGAGACATTGTGGGACTAGCAAAATAATGTTCGATTTATTTAGTACTTCTCAAAATAATGAAACAGTTCCCAAGTATCCTTCAAAGACTGCTCTCATCTGTAAAGAGGTGTTAATAGTATGCACCTCTTAGGGGTGTTCTGAAGATTAAGTGAACGAATACTTATAAACTGTTTAAATCAGTATCTGAAAAGAAAACACTGATGCATAGTAAGCATACGTAAATGTTTATTAAATAAAAGCATTGGGGGAGAGCATTCGGCAAGTCATAAGGTGAGTACAAAATAGACTCTCAGGCAACTCACAGAAGAATCAAAGTTTCCAGGATTTTAAATATTTTATCAAAGTGATACGTACACATTATTTTAAAAATTCTGATCTAATGATTTAGACAAATTATAATGAAAGCCATTCTCAGAATAATTCTGTGGCCATGAGTGTAAGCACTTGCCAGGTCTGCTTTTGGTCTGGAGAGGGATTTATATGGGCATCTCGCAATGTCAGCCTTTTTGATGGTCTGTGATAGATGGTGCTGATGGAGAGACAGAAGCTGGAGAGGTACAGCAAAACAGAAGTGTCACTTATGATCTCTCGAAATTGGTAAACTACCCAGGTTTTAATATATCCACTCCCAGAGGAATTCCAGATGTAAGTATATTGGCTTTTTATTCTTCTGGGCTGTGACATTATTTATATAGATTGTTCAGAATGTTAGCTTATGTGGCACTTACTATCACATAAAGAAGTAAATGTGTTACTTTTGTGTTTCACTTTTTGATTTCTTTTATGTTGACTAGAATGTTAAGTGAACTCTTGTATTCATTAAAATTTAAGAAAACAAAACAAAACACAGTTTTTTCTGATTTTGTGCCCTAAGGAAAGGAACTAAAATAAAATGGTTAAATGCTGTAAATCTGAAACTATTCTACATTTAAAAGATTATTTTTAAAAAATATAGGATGGTTTGAGACAGTATTGTAAGTTTTACAGAATTACTTGGGAAGTAAATTTCCGCCTTTAATAAATCTAAGAATACTATAACTCTTTTTCCTACCTTTCCCCCTCCCCCCCAAGAAAAAATTTTCCTATACAAGGAAGTTTTTCTACATTTAATCTTTTCCAACTTATATCTTATGTTTCAGGGTTCAGCAACTAACTATAGTAGTGGTGGTGATATTTTAATTAAAAAATGTATTCTAGATAGGGGAGGGCATAGCTCAGTGGTAGAGCACATGCCTAGCATGCATGAGGTCCTGGGTTCAATCCTCAGTGCCTGTTAAGAAATAAATAAATAAACCCAATTACCTCCTACCACCGACAAAATTTTAAAAATAAAATATAAATAAAATTTTTTTTATTAAAAAAAATTTATCCCAGTTTTTAAGGACTGGGCAGTAGAGAAGCAGCCAAAGGACTGGACTTAAAGAGTCTAGTGAACAGATAGGAAGACAAGTGTATAATTAATTCAGGGCTAAATTGCACGGTATAGACCATCAGTGCCTCTGGAAGTGGGTCCAAGTACCAGCCTACGTCAGAATCCCTTGGGGTGCTTGCTAGAAATGCACATTCTTGACCCCCACTCCCACCCCAGACTTAACTGACTCAGTCCCTGGAATCTGGAGGCTTCAGAAGAGCCCAGCGTGATTCTCACTGAGAACCAGTGTCGAGTGTGGGATTAGCAATGAGAGAGAAACGAGTGATGTTGAGCCTCTAAGATTAGTACTTAGTTTGGAAAGGGAAAGGACAGAAGGTGGAAAACTCAGCGTGAGTGAGTGAGTGAGTTGGGAGGAAGCGGCAGCGAACAGTCACGTGGGCAGGTCTAGTGCGTGTCAGGAGCGGGGCGGAGGCCAGCCAGCCGATGAGAGCCGTGACATCACTACCTGTAACTTGTAGTAGGTAGAACCGTCTTGGGCAAGTGATTTGTCAGTTATTCTCCTGGTATTCAGTCCTGATCATTCTGCAGCCAGAGTTGGTTTTTTTTTTTCCTTCAGTGTACCATTATTTTCATTATTTCCCCCCAAAAGGAAAAGGCACATATGAAGCATTGTAGTTTGAGACCTCCACTTTACCTCCTGTGAGCAAAATCTCAAGACGTGGCATTTTTTGAGATGCATACTTACTTTTCCCTTCTCTTTGCATCATTAGGAATGGAGGATGTTCGGTTCCATACCAATGCAGGCATGCCAGCAGAAGGACGTGTTTGCCAATTACCTAACTTCTAACTTCCAAGTGGTAAATAGATTTTGAGTGTGGTTTATAAAAATGTATTGCTTCTATCTGTGGGATTTTGTAACTCATTAGGGTCTTGTTGCCTTGTCTGACTTTGTTATATAAAGCCCTCTGTGTTTTCTGATGACGCCAGAAGGAAAAGGTGGCTACTTTCACCAGTTACTTGGACTTAGCTCCAGACTGATTTTCTGTGTCATTTAAACAGAGGGCTGGAGTGTAATTCTTTGTCTACCTCGCCTCCCTTGTGTTTGGTTTGGTCCTCTATTAGCCGAGCATGCGGTCCAGCATCAAGAGGTGTGGGTCTCGGTCCAGCCCTGGCAGCCCGAAGAAGCAGAAGAGGGAAGGCAGCCTGGCAGCCTCGCCCACCGACATGGAGCTCGACTCGGGTAGGTTTCGGGCCATGGTTTTGATTTCCTTGAGCAGGTGGGATGAATTTGTGTGCCCCTGAGTTCCCTAAAAGAAAGAGGAAGCTCTTTATGCGCACTGTAAGCACTGACTACATAGTAAGTCTTTTATTTTGTCCTTGATGTCAGAGCATCCCCACTGCTACCGATGAGAGCGGAGTTGAAGCACTCAGAGCTTGCGGTGAGAGCCACTGAGTTAGACAGACTGCATCCAGTCCCAGCGGCCCTGGGCCCGGCCTGGCCACCTGATGGGGCAGTGCTTTGAGACGGGCAGAGGGGAGTGTTCCTTTGTCAGCTCGCCCCCGAGGGGAAGAGAGGCACAGCTGAGCCAAGCTTCTAGGTGGTTTTTCTCACCTGTGTCAGTCCAGTAGGTGCCTCCTCTTCTCCGGGAAAGAGAGACTACTAGGAAGATCTGTCCTTTTGGGTGGAGCTCCGTCAGGCTTAGTATAAATGCAGGTGACTTGTGTGGTCAGCTCACTCCCAAGAACAGGAAACACTGAGCTGGTCTAATTGTCATTTTCCTGTGGAAAGTGTTATTAAAAACAAATAATGTGTTATAAGCGAGATGGATTCCACGTCGGCTTGGAATTGTGAACTGTAACTACCTGAGTGTCTTTTTCCCATTTAGTAGTCTTGCGTGAATAGTATTGGTTGTGATGTCTTGTGCAAATGGAACTCGGGTTAAGCTTTGGTTATGGCTTATTCCTCAAAGCATACAATACATATATTGTCAGATAATGAACTAACTTTGCATGCTCGTCTCCCTGCCACCTGCTCCTCTTCCTCTTCTGTGCGTTGGTCCTGATTAACAGTGTTCCCGTGGCTCCACAGACATAGAAGTTCCATTTGCCCGCAACCTCATTCAACCTTAATCCCAGGTTTCCCTGTCTAGCCAGTTACCACTGTCCTAACACTGTCTCAGGAGCTGCCTCTCAGTTCAGACTTTTCTCTCTCTCCTGATCGCTCCTGGTGCCCTTATAACTCATTTTTTTCAATCCTTCCTTTCAGCTTTTTTATCCATTCTTTGCTCTCCCAGTTGAGTTAACTTCTTAAAATCTAAGTGATAGTGTATAAATCTCCTCCAAGATCTTATTGCCTGTACAACGAAGCTCAGACCAGTTTTGCATAGCCTTTAAGGTTCCGCGTTGTTTAGTTGAATTTTCCAAAATTTTTAAACACATGGTATGTTTCAGACTCCTCTACTAGACCCTGAGGGCAGGAAGGTTATTAAGACACAACTGCTGCCCTGTCTGTCACCTAGAGTTGCAGACATGTAAACATCACTTAAATGTCAGCGCGGTGGCCTGCAGGGATACACACAGAGGTTAGTATTACAGAGCTGGTTACCAACTGTAAAGGGGGCACAAAGGAAAACTGAGCAGCCGTGCTGGGTGAAGTCATAGCCTCTTCCCAAGATAACTTGGAGCTGCATCCTAGGGGGTGAATTCAGAGATTTACCAGGGAGAGGAGCAGGGTTAGGGCACTTGAGACGGTGGGAACCATCATGGTCACAACAGCATGACCGCTGGGGCTGTTTAAACCAGGCAGTGAGACATGACCCGGGGGATTAGGCAGATGCTTGGTTGCAGAGAGCCTCAGAAGGCTTGAAGGAGATGGGACTTCTTCCTGTAGGTGATGAGAGGGAGCTAAAGGGTTTCTAAATGAGATGGAAAGGTTCCTAGGGCCAGATTTGTGTTTTAGAAAGATTACAAGTTTGGAGGATGGATATAAGGAAAATGAATCCAGAGGCAGGGACGACTCATACTCTTGGCAACCAGTAATGGGCCCAAAAGAACACAGCAGCTCTGACAGGCTGCAGGCAAGGGCGGGCCCCAGGGAGCCAGGGAACCAGTGTGGGCAGAAGGAGAAGGCGGACTCTCCGATGAGGGCAGGCTTCAGTTTGGGAGGTTTCAGCCAGATGCCACTGGTGGCGCTGTCAGTGAGCACAGCAGATAGGAGAAGAGTGCAGATTTTAGGGAAAGATCCTTTTGGACAGGTTGGCTCTGTTGTGTCTTGGGGACACACAGGGAGCGATGACCAGTGTGCCCAGGAAGCTGCCTGGACCCGAGCGAGTTGAGGCGCGCAGCCTAGGCTGGAGGTACAGAAGCGGAAAGTAAGCCAGGGAGTTTCCTGCCCCATCTCCTCGGCTTCGTCTCCTTCAGCCTCCGCTTACTCAGTAGTCTGAGGCAGCTGACTCTCCAGCCAGATGTCCTACTGTGCTCGCGTTTTCCCTCGGTTAAGGTTCCTGGTGCCGGCGATCCTGACCACTCCCCCCGTAGGTGGTGGTTTCAGGTGGATGGAGGACCTTAAGTGATTGTTGTGGCATCCGAGGATCCACTTTTCCCCTCTTGGGCCAGTTATTTCGGCCATTGAATCTCTGGATTCACCTGAGTTCCAGTAATAAACGCTAGTAAAATCAAATGCTAGGTGACAACTTACAGTGTCTCATCGTCCTTGTTTCAGATGCGGAGGTCCCACACGGTTCCCTGAGCAGCGGAGCTTTTCAGTTTCAGCCCCCACTGCCCCCTGGCACTCCTCCCCCGCTCCCCCAGGGCACCCCTCCGGCCACCTTCACTCCTCCGCTCCCCAAGGGCACCCCGCCGCTGACTCCCAGTGACTCACCCCAGGCGCGAGCGGCATCTGTGCCCATGGACGAGGATGCTCTGACCCTGGAGGAACTGGAAGAACAGCAGAGGCGGATATGGGCGGCCCTGGAGCAGGCTGAGAGCACCAACAGTGATTCTGATGTCCCCGTCGACACACCTGTGACTGGGAATTCGGTCGCCTCTTCACCTTGTCCAAACGAGCCAGACCTCCCTGTCCCGGAGGGAAAAACATCTGAGAAGCAGGTGCCAGATGAGGCTGAGGTACCAGACACTTGTTCAAAACAGTCCGAAGCGGAACCATCCTCCAGTCCGGATCCTGAGGCTGCCTCGCCCGGTCAGAAGGAAAAGGAAGAGTTTGCTCAGGCGGACGCCAAAGATGCTCCTCTGGACAACGGCCGCGTGGAGTCCCCATCACAGGAGTCCCCCTGTGATGTCAGGAACGGAGGCAGCAGCCAGAAGCCCCTTCACAGGGACATCAGCCCTCCAACAGCCACTAAAACCCATAGTCCTGTCCCCGACATGAGCAAGTTTGCAACCGGGATAACACCATTCGAATTCGAGAATATGGCGGAATCTACTGGAATGTACCTCAGGATAAGAAGCTTGTTGAAGAACTCGCCCCGAAACCAGCAGAGAAACAAGAAGGCTCCTGAATAACTGGTTGACGTGGCACCCAGAGCTATTTATCTGTACCTGTGCGTTCTGTGAATTAGTACAACTAAGTGGACGGATAAAAATGTCTTCCGACTTGTCCCTCCCACGTTTCAAAATCTAGCCAAGGCTTATTTGTGGCCTTAAGTCAGGCCTATTTTAAAGGATGGAAAGACTGGGCTGGCTGGTTTCCTCTGTTTTATTCTCACAGATAGAAACTCGTGGGGGGTGGATGTCACACGAGCTGGCTTAGAGATAGTTTATTAAGTTTACACTATTTTTGGATTGTGAGCGTCCGTCAAGCGTGATGGTTTTTATCTGTCTTTTGTACATTGTTTTTCCCTTTCTACATTTTGCTAATTATCCTGTATGTAAGTTTAGTATATCACTTTTTAAAAGAAAAAAATTCTAACCATTTTAAATTCAGATTTCAACTCTGACAACCAAATGAGAAAAATCAGGGATGAGCAGCTTTATCCCATTTGGGGTATTTTTGTAAGTGATTTATTTACACGCATCAATTTTAATAACACTTTTACTTTTTTGTAACTGCGTTCTTCATATAAGCTTGCAATACAGGTATGGTCATCTTTGTGTACGAAGGTTTAATAAATTAGTTTTCATACGCGTAATTTAAGACTTTGAATACAAAGAAATGATTCGCAGTTAAATTGGTATATGCAACCTTGTAAGTTCGGAAGTAAATTATGTGGTCACAAAGGAACTATAAGAAATTGCAGATTTGGGTATTTTCACTGGATTTCAGCCTTAAAAATAGAAACAGCAGAACCTTTTAAAGTAATTTGAAAAAAAATAAATGGACGGCAGCTAGCCTTTATACAAAAATAATTTTCTAGATTTGAATCCCGTGGTAATGCGTAGTTAAAAAGTAGACATAAACAAATTGTGTTCAATTGTCAGATATAGAAGATAGAGCTGAAACTATGTTTTTTGTCTTTATGTGGAATGCTGTTACATCTCTACAGAGGAGGCCAATGAAAATAAACATTTAGATAATCTTGAATTACTCTTAGGTAGTGTTATTTTGCTCGGAGGCCAGCAGAGGGAGCAAAATTTAGTCATTCCCGATTTAGTCTTCATTTGGGGAACCTGAGTAACCAAATTTACTGTTCTATAAACAATAAAGGAAAGGAAAATTACATGAAAAGAGGAAATTTATTTTCGAGGCCCTCACAGGACATGCTAGAAATTGAATAAAATGTTTAATACTTGTGGCTTCTTTCTCCGAGGTGAGGTCCACAATAAAACATCCTTCACAGTAGTTTGCATAAGTGCTTTTACGTCCATTACCTTACTGAGCGTTTCTGTCAGGTAAATGTGTTATCTCCACACTGTGTATGTAACATAAGGAGACGTAAACAGCATAGAGAGGTTAAAGGGACATGTCGCATTCACGAAGTGGTTACTGAGTGGCCAGTCCAACTAAAGACTTGACTGTTCTCTAAATCATAGAAGCAGTGGTTTCAGTGCCCCTTTAAGCATTGCATTCCACAGAGTCCTCTTTGAACACCAGAGATACCTGAAGTTCTCTCTAGTGTATGCCACAGGCGATCACGTTGAAGTTCTTTGTGTGTTACCCCGTTGTCACAATCACCATATTAGGTAGGTGTCGTTAACTTCATTTTTATAGGAAACACCTAAGACACACAGCGGGGAAGTAATCTAGTGACCTAAATCCAGATCACTCTGACCCCGGCCGGTGTCCAAGCTCTTAACCATTTTGCCTCTTTTTTTTGCCTCCCTGTTGAAGCTCTTACAAAAGCACTGATTCTCAAGAAGTTGGCTCCTATTTCTTGATTTATTCAATTACATACTGAGGGCACATGTGTATTGATTTGTTCTATGTGCTTTGGGGCCTTAGAAGAAGAGAATGACGGAATCTGCTTTAAGGAGCTTCGTGGGAGAAAGTATACGGATCCCTCTTAATCAGGAGATTTGCCAAGTGGTCTTGTGCAAAGGGCAAGGGAGCTGGGCCATACGAGCTGGTGCGCGAAGCCCCTAGGAGGGCTGGCTTCAAACTCACGGGGCCAGGGCTTTCAGCATTCACTTGGAGGGCATTTGAAGACTTCTGGAAAGAACCTTTGAGCTAATCTTTAAGGGGTAGAATTCCCATAAACAAAATGAGCCTTGGAAGGTACAGGAAACGGCAGGAGTTAAACAAGCAGGGACACTCAAGAAATATAAGATGGTAGGAAAAAAAGACGTAAAGGGATTGCTTATTCATTGATGCTCTGAACTCTTGGCTGCTTTGCTCTAGGGTCTGAGTCTTATTTAAGGAAAGGGATCTGCTATAGATCTTCCAATGAAAAGTGACCTCACCCAAGTGGTATTTTAGGAAGAGAAATCCTAACGCAGAATTCAGAATAATTTGAGGGGAGACACTTTACGGAAGGGAGCCCAGAAAAATGGGAAGTAGTTGCTTTAAGAAGCTGCCCCATTTTTAAAATGTATTCTGTTGGGTGTGTTTGAGTGTTAAGAAGAGTGCTGGGTGGAGGACTGTGTTACTGTTTGGACTTGTCCACGCTGTGACAGGTCTCCAGGTGTGGGGAGGTGAGATCATAACCAAACCCTTGTACTTCAGGATGGACTTGGAGCAGGGTGGGGACCCGTTTCTAATCCTTGCCTGGGGTTCAGAGGAATTTGAATTGTCATGCAGGTTGCTAAAACAAGGCCAGCTCTTTGTCATCTCCTTGAGCAGGTTAAGTGGAAAGAGGGCACCGTCCTTACTAAAATACCAAATGACTGATTTCTTTTTTTTTTCCGAAAGGTTGCATGTCCTTAAGTGGTCAGAAATACAGTCTACTTTCTACCAACCAGAAACTTGCTCCTAGTTCTGTCCTTCAGCTCAGCTGGAATCATTTTGCCCTTCTGTCTCCTACTTTGTAGACTGTCATTAGCACACACAACCAACAAAGGTGTTGTAACGATTGTGTATTTGTAAGGCATGACTCAGTTCCTAAGAAATCATGTGCACACAGCCTGTGTTTTTTGTCAACATACAGGAAAGTTATTTTCCCTTCGACTTAATATATCCATTTCATTTCCTGGCATAAAGCCACTTTTAGATGCTTAGGGTTAAATTATTTTGTTAAAGAGTTTTTAAATAGTTTTTAATTATAGAGCCGTTTCTATGTTCTAAATAACGTGGAAGTCTCTGGATAAGCATGTTTTGAAAATCATCAGCAATCTAGCTAGAATTTTTACACTGGAATATTGGAGCGAAGGGGGAAAAAGTGGCAGCCGTCTTCAAGGAAATATCTTTTTTTTTTCTTTTGCTCCTAAATAACTGCACTTTGTGGGAGGGAGGTGGGGGAAATGTGAAATGAGATGAAACTACAAGAGTTCCTTCCTATTGACAAATAAAGTAATCAATAGTCTATCTAGGAAAGGAATGGAAATTTTTATTCGAGCCAACCTGAGAATTGTAACTTGGGAGAGAATCTTTCAGAAAACTCTGAGGGCTGTTCCAAAATCACAAAAAGGGGTAAGGTCGGCATAGATGAGATTCTGGCGAAAGGGTACGTGTGATCAAGCCACACATCTTGGTAGAAGTTTACTGCTATTCATAAGGAAAAGATATCCATGTGCCTTTCTAAGTATGAAGAGGCTGGGTTCAAATTTTCTCCTGAAAGATCTACGTGAGGGCCAGTTCTGCCAGTTTTCCCCAGCGCACAAAATGCCTCATCCTGATCTTCGCCCTGAATTCCTTTCAGGGTGTGTTGTAGGTCACTGACTGCAGCGGCCAACGACCTGGTTCTTGTAGGAACTGGGTGGTGGGCGACATTCTTTATTTTACAATCCTCTCCCTTTCGGTCTTAATTTTGACTAAGGTTTGGGAGGCATCTCGTGACCAATTTGTCCCACGGCTCTAGGAATGCTTGTTCCCAGATCGGGTGAGGAATTTGTCGATAAGCCACCCAATGTGCTGTCACTGGACGAGGCCCTGTCCGCAGTAACAAAAGGCCTCTGGGCCTGGTGTCTTACTAGCGTGTAATGGTCCAGGAAATGGTTCCTCCTTGTTTCTCCCCAGATCTAGAGTTACACCGTTACAATCATTGATCTTGTAGTTTGATCAATCGGTTCAAGTCACCTAGCCATCATCATTTTTATCAGAGGCTCACTCACACACTTGGTAATGCAAGAAACAATAATCTTGTAAAATAGATTATTAGTAATGTTAGTAATATCGCTAGTAACATGAATGAGGTCGTAAGTAATGTTATCTTCTAAGGAGTTCCATATTTGGCACCAGCTGAAAAACTGACCTTTATGTTTGCACAGGTCTTTCTGCCCCTGGGGAGGCCTGGGTAACACGCCGTGCTACACTAGGTGGGTGGGTGGTGGAGGCCCAAACTGGCAAAGAAATGTTTTGTTTAAATTTTTCTTGTCTTGCCTTAAAATAGAATTTTATTTCACTACTCCCTGTTCATAGTATCCCAAGCATGTCTTTGTCAAACACAGTTGGGTTTTGAATTCGTGGGTTTTATAATCTGGCAAACAGCCTGTCTGAAATTTTCACCTCCCGTACCCTTCTGCGGGCTGATGTGAAATGTCTAGGTGTTAGATCCAACTTTAGTCAGTTTACAATGCTGTGTCAATTTCTGGTGTACAGATCCAACCTCTAAGACATTTTCATTTGCAATTAAATTACACTCTTTCATAAACCACTCAAAGAACAAGATAAGACACTGGATTTCTTTTTTTTTTGATACTTGATTTGTCTTTGTTTAAAATGTTTACTTTTTAAATTGTAAGCAGAGGGAATAACAAAGCCATAAATTTGAAGGAAAAATAACCCACAGAGGAAACCCACATCGTTTTTCCTTCCTGTGGTACAGAAGTTTCTTACCAGATTATTTTCTAAACCCAAAACTTTTTCTTTCTTTCCCAAAATGGAGACTCTATTTTGTTGCTGATTATAAACATAGTACATATTTGTTTTATAAATTCAAATAAAATGATGTAAACATCCTTTATAATCACAACTTTCAGAGAGAACTTTCATTGTTCACAGTTTGGTATACCCTCTTCCTGAGCAAATACACGTAACTAAGAACTTTTTATTAATGTGTTATATATGTGTGTGTTTTAACATAAGTAAGATTATATTTTACTTTCTTTGTTAGTATTTGAAATCTTAATTCTTATTATGAATGGCTGCACAGCAGCATACCATATTTTATTCAAAATTGTTTACAATATTAACAATGCTGCAGTGAACATTTTTAATAGGTGTAAATCTTTGAGTATTTGTGAAAATATGTACATGGGATGCATTATTCCTAGATTATAAATCAGGCTGAATATCTTATGTTTATTGGCAATTTTTATTTCTTCTATGAATTGTCTTTATATCCTTTGCTCATTGTCCTATTTGTTTACTTACTGGCATATAGTAATTCTTTATTTAAAAAAATATATTTTGTTAGATATACTGCAAAATTAT